CTAAAGTTGAAAAATCTTGATTTTGAACACCCTATATCTCTGTAATCATTCTCGATAGACTCCAAGTGTGATGTATCGATGAAATCAGCTCTTCAGGGAGAATCTAAAAATGTTATAAAATACAGGGTATTCCATTTGAAATAACAAGGTTGTTACTACTTTTTGATAGAAGCGGCAACACTGTATTGCTGAAAGTATTTTAAATGGAGAGATCGTATTCTAAAATATTAACATATATATTTTCATGGATTTCTCCCGACTGATTCTCATTATAGAGATAGTGTAAGTGCGTCGTGACATACCCTGTATATCATTTTGTTATCAAATGACGGTAGAAATCTGCAGCCGGCTCTCCTACTATGAATGGAACAAGCCTTAGGGGCAATATGAACGTAGTAGGCGTCTATACTACTGGTGTTTGGCAATGTTAAAAACACAGGGTGTCCCAATTCTCCATCAGGTAGAGGTTGAATTATTCCCAGCAAAAGACGAAGGATTATAATTTTTTTCAACCTTTTTCGGGGCTTCCCTTTACACTGGGCCCAAGGCCCGGGCATCATGTGCTTTATGGTAAAATAGGCCATGGTCATCGCAACGTCAGATATTTACACTAGGTACATTTTGAACACATTTTTTATTGTCAAAATCCAGCTATTCTGGCTACGTCACATATACAAGTGATTAGGGGCCAGTAAGAATTTCTATGCGGTAATAACTAATATCTTGATCCATCTGATCATCCCAAAGGACACAATTATGTCCCATGGATATCCTCAGGACGTCCTGTCGGGACATTCAGGACGTCGATAGGTCGTTCGAATTCGGTACCGTGGACGTCCTTTGGACGTCTGTGGGACGCACAAATGTCCCACTCGAGGACCAACTAGGGACGTCCTTGAGGGCTGTCCCTGGGACAACTATCGAATACCTAAATCCTACATCAGTAATTCAACCTATCAGCAACGCTGAGGGATATCAATTGGATGTCCGTAGGATGTCGCAGGGCGACGTACGAATTATTCTTGAATTTGAATTTTTCTGGGTCTCACTAGGACCAGATCTTGCATAACTGATGAGGACTTACGTGAAGGACATTGACGGGGGAGTATTTATAGCCTACGAGCAATATCATTCGTCGGTGAGGTGTAAGTTAACTTCCTCGCAGGGACAACATATTAAAAGTACCAACTGGGACATCCGTAGGACGTTATCTCTAGAAAATTGGAAGAGTACAGTCCTTGCTCGGACATTGCATGAGATGTACGGGATGGGACGTCCCAAGGACACTTATTTTTGGTCCGGGACATTCGGACTTGAATTGTACCAAATAGGGACGTCCCTAGGACGTTGTGTGCTATTAGGGATTTTCACCCATATACAAATGGTACTACTTGATTACATTCAAAAACAACTCATACCACCAGGTTTGTTCTGACAAGTGCTGAATAACTTCGTCGTTTCCCGCTCAGTCATCCAATCATTTGAATGCATGAATGAAAGTATATTAGCAGATTGTTCGGCCAATGGTTCTTACATCCATTGGCTTGGCCGGAGAGTCAACACATTCGCTGAGTATAAGCGCCTATAGCGTTGTGAGAAGGCAACACGAATATTTGATGCAAATATCCTACACAGAAAACATTCCTGCAATTTTTTCCGATATGTCACATATATGTATGTATAACTTGAAGCATGTGCAACATTATTATGAAATCCAAAATCGTGAAATCAAATGCGTGAAAAAAATATGAAACGAACACGAATGTGACGTTCATGTTTCACGTCCGTTCAAATAAACTCAGAGTTTCATAAATTCATGTGGCCGAACCAGCTTACTATAAAGAACCGGTGACATATGTGCATAACCGGTTCTTTTGCGAATCATGTGGACTGTCTCTCACCCTTATGGCTAAAAATTTGAGTGCTTGGGAATTATTTGAATCTCCACCCGACTAACGTTGCCATATGGCAACGCACGGCGCTAATGGTTCAAGTATCGGTCCGATATTTTTGGTTTATTATGGTCATTATAGGCATAGTGCGGCAGCATTATGACGATTATAAAAACGAATGGTAACATTTTCATTCATTTCATGTGATCAGGACCGTAACAGTAACAATTTTATCGGTGAAGTAACGGACAATTTCATTGATGAAATTCCGAAATTATTCGATATTCTGCAACTTATGCAAAATAGTTTATTTTCGGAGTTGTACGTCCTGTTGGAAGAGAAACCGTAATTGAAAATATTCTCTATAATAACATGTCTAGGAATTCGAATATTTCAACAAACCCTTTGTGAGCGAATGGAGATCTCTGATGTTTCCATAAAAAACAGCCAACCACTGGTAAAGTGTTTTTAGGAGCCAATTAATTTTATCATTTCTCTATTGTAGACAACAATGAGTATGGATAGACTAATTAAAAGTTTTATACTTAGTTCATTAATCATTTTGATACAACAAACCTGCTTACCTATGGAATTCTAGTTGTTCATGATGATGTGAATGTGTTGTGAAATGTACGAAAACAATAAGAAACGTTTCGAAGTCATGGATTCCAAATTCAACAGATGGGTAATAACACTGTAAGTAACTTTTCATACGTAACTCTATAAATATATAGGTTCTCTTCAAACTTGAATAATAGATTTTGCCTAGTACCTATATACAGAGTGGCCAACCGAAAACGAAACATACTGAGGACATTCCGGGAAAGGAGTTTGTTTGTCTAAATGAAAACGCTGAAATATGTGGTTTTGAGTAGAAACTACTTTCGAAATGTTCGTATAATCATGAAAAACTTGAGGTATCGAAGTCGAACATGTGTATTAGTAAAACTAGAAAGATTTAATGTTGATCATTTTGAAATATATGATTAAAATATTGATCATTACTTTTGAGAACTCAATCTAATGAACATTCTTGAATTTAATCAAGATAATTCTCATTGAACTCCTGGCATGTTCTAGGTTTTGCTGACATTATTGTGATATTTCCTTGAAATGATGAATACATTCATAATGAATTATCATAATTAACAAACAGTACGAGATTGGTGTGCCTCCCCAGCTATGTTCTCTGCTAGCTAGTTTTCTCTCAAACTGTAGTGGTCGACAGAGTTTCATCTGACCCTCTTATCATAAATGCTGGTGTTCCGCAAGGATCAATTCTAGCACCAACACTATTTCTACTTCATATCAACGATTTGTTGGAAGCAACTTCATGCCCAGTACACAGCTTCGTGGACCCTCCATACCGCCTTCTCTTCCAGGTCTCCAATACTAGCCAGGCGAATCAGAAACGAACGAGGAAGAACATTTTTTCATATAAACTCATCTGGATATCCCCAATTCACCATTTGGCTATGTGAGTCGGCTCATAAATCATCCTGTATATAATACATATTATCTCAAATGTAGATTGCATATTGCATAATATCATTTCTGCAATATTGCAATATATTTTCAAAACATATCTGCCACATATTTCACGTTATATTTTAGGGTGTACATTTGGATATTCTTGCAATGTTTCTGAAACAAAACTGTGCTGTATGGGGTAACCTACAGGGGTGAGTCACAATAATAAACACATCAAAAGCAGTCACGGTAGAGGGAGGGTGTTCGCCCCCTTCCCATGGAACCTAGTCATATATATACCTAGGTATGCCTAAGGATATGTATAAAAAAAAGGTGGAAGTTTGTTATAAACCAGAAGGTTTTCAAATCGAATGGGTTGACCGAAATTAACAAATATTTTCATTGAACATACCAATTTTGATGAATAGCGATATGTTCACAATTTCATCATCATCGAGTTGTTCTCATCTCAAGATACGCCAGTTTCTGCAAACATATAACAGAAAAATCTTCCTATCCCTATCGCATAATAACTGTGAAATTACCAAAGAGTAGCCAGCGAGCACAAAAACATCTCAGAGATGTCAAAAGTACGAGATTTCGAGACATTGAACCTCCACTGCGATGTTCTGTTCACACATGAATAGAACTATTATAGAACAGCCAATGTCCGCCGCAGGCGGCAATTATCGAGATGACCTTGATATGTCACAAAACTACCTTTCCCCTAGTTCTTTTCAAAGCCGTTTCATGGACACAACAGAACATTTTCAACGCGTCTTGCGCTCATTAAATCGCTGTGAAAAAACATTTTCGAGGTACTTTTCTGAAGCCTTTTGTCAAAATGAACTTTTGCATTAGGATTCCATTTCCCTTGAATGAAAAAATGCATTAAAAATAGATTGAATTTCCCAATTTTTGAAATGTTCTCCACAATGCATAATTTTGCAACTGCGGAGAAGCTGTGTATTGATGAATTCGTACTTTTATATATTGATTACACAGAGGCACCGAACAACACATCTTGCATCTGATGGTCATTATTACAAACTAAATAAGTCTTCTAACACAATAAACTTCACCAAATTCCTTTCTGTTCGTTAGCAGCGTGATGTAAGCGTGACCGTGCGTGACACGCTGCAAACGCGAATACCAATTGCGAACAAGAAGAACAAAATCGAAAACAAATCAGAATTCATCGTATTGTGACGTAAGCATGAGACGTTGTGGTGGGGCAAACAAAGAAAGGGCACAAAAAAACAAAAACAATACTTTCAATATCCTTCTAAGACCTCTTTGGGAAGTGCATTTTACGCCTCAAAAAAACATCCTCATGCCTACATTTCTAAAACATCCCAAAAAATCCCAGGGATACCTCTCAGTAGGCAAACAAAGAAATGCCACAGAAGAACAAAAACAATACTTCAATATCCTTCCAAGACCTCTTTGGTCAGTGCATATTACGTTTCAAAATAACATCTTCATACCAACATTTTCAAAACATCCCAAAACATCCCAGGGATGTTTTTTGCTCGCTGGGTAGCCTCCGTTAATCGAGCACTTTTTGATAATAGGTGTATCAACACCTTCATGCATTTCATTGATAATTCTGAATTCTCCTATCTGCTTTCAAGACAGCGCCTATGCATACCCACTTCTTACACGAATTTAAGGTGAACCAGTTCTTTCTATTTTCCCAAGATATTAACATCGACCACTCACTTCTCAGTTGACATTATATCCATACAGCAGTGTAACTGCTGTTCGAAGTTGAATATCATTTTATTGTTCATCATTAATGTTTATTAACAACTGAGCTGTAACCTGCTATTAAGTGCCAAATCCGACTTAACGTTTTAATTATGTTTGAAAGACACAGATTACACAAAATGATCAGTCATGGTGAGTAGTTTATTATTTTATAGGTTGATTATCTTCACAGAAGAATAGATATCTATAACTATATCCATATATCCAGCTATATTACTGATGGAAAACAAATAGTCGTATGCTATTTTTTCATCCATGCACGATAATGAAAATTCTCATGAAAATTCCGTTTACTGTATAAATATCCCGGTTGTGAGATCAAATCCTGCTTCAACGAAAATGTGTTATTTCTTTTTTTGACCGAGATCGTTGAAAACAAATATATAGGTAATTGGTAAACTGATAAGGAACATGATCAAGTACATAATATATTGTTGTCTGTCAAAAATTGCGCCGCAGGCGAAGAGGTTTGTATATTTTGACACATTTTATGTGCTGGACAATGAATTTAGATATTCATATAGCGAATTCCATTCGTAAACCTGGTGGAGCACTGGTTTCGCACCAGTTTTGCACCCGCACTACGTTAGTTTTCTCCAAAATGTGAACTGGTGCCTTCCCAATGGAATAGGTACGAAATAATATAATAAAATGTTATTGTTGGAGGTTAAATCGGATAAATTGGTTTGTCATTGTTTATAACTTGTCCGTATCCTGAAATTCTTTCTCGACTTCAATTAAAAACGGAGTAGATGTTTCATGGAAATGATTCTGAGCAGTTTTTTTTCAATGAGAACCTCTTCATCATTGAATTTTAGTGCAAAACACTCAACAAAATTATGAATTCTGGGCAGTAGTCTCCTTTATTTTCTTGAAACCTCCAAATTTTCATCACTACTTGATGATGATGATTAGATTGCCACTTAATTTTGGTTTTCAAACTATGCATATTCAATGTTTCCGCCATTTTCAAAACTGCACCTACTTCGCACGACCTATTAGAGCTCGTGCGAGAATTGTTGCACTGAGCTCTAAACTACCCAGCGAGCACAAACATCCCTGATGGGATGTTTTGGGATTTTTTGAAAATGTCGGCATGAAGATGTTATTTTGAGACGTAATATGCACTGACCAAAGAGGTCTTTGAAGGATATTGAAGTATTGTTATTGTTCTTCTGTGGCATTTCTTTGTTTGCCTACTGAGAGGTATCCCTGGGATGTTTCGGAATGTTTTAGAAATGTAGGCATGAGGATGTTTTTTTGAGGCGTAATATGCACTTCCCAAAGAGGTCTTAGAAGGATATTGAAAGTATTGTTTTTGTTCTTTTGTGCCCTTTCTCTGTTTGCCCCACCACAACGTCTCATGCTTACGTCACAATACGATGTATTCTGATTTGTTTTCGATTTTGTTCTTCTTATTCGCGATTGGTATTCGCGTTTGCAGCGTGTCACGCTTACATCACGCTGCTAACGAACAGAAAGGAATTTTGTGAAGTTTATTGTGTTAGAAGACTTATTTAGTTTGTAATAATGACCATCAGATGCAAGATGTATGTTGTTCGGTGCCTCATTGTAATCAATATATAAAAGTACGAATTTATCAATACACAACTTCTCCGCAGTTGCAAAACTATGCATTGTGGAGAACATTTCAAAAATTGGGAAACCTATTTCCAATTATATGTCTGTGTGTAGTAAGCACTACTCAGAAACCGATTAAGAAGGTAATTTCATATCAAGAAAATATTTTTATGTTCAATCTATTTTTAATGCATTTTTTCATTCAAGGGAAATGGAATCCTAATGCAAAAGTTCATTTTGTCAAAAGGCTTCAGAAAAGTACCTCGAAAATGGTTTTTTACAGCGATTTAATGTGCGCAAGACGCGTTGAAAATGTTCTGTTGTGTCCATGAAAAGGCTTTAAAAAGAACTAGGGAGAAGGTAGTTTTGTGACATATCAAGGACATCTCGATAATTGCCGCCTGCGGCGGACATTGGCTGTTCTATAATAGTTCTATTCATGTGTGAACAGAACATCGGTGGAGGTTCAATGTCTCGAAATCTCGTACTTTTAACATCTCTGAGATGTTTTTGTGCTCGCTGGGTATGTGAACCAGTTTTCCAATGGAATTCAAAACCCGGCACCAGTTTTACCAATGGAATACAAAATATGCACTTAGTGCGACCCAGTTTTACCAATGTAATTCGCTAATATATGCTAACAAAATTTGAAAAACAGCACCACGACTACTACGAGCTTGCCAGGACACAATTAATATAAACATAATAATATGGGGACATGCAGAATAGGGTGGTGTTCTTCTAGAATATTCCACGAACCATACTTAGCATTTATTATAAACATGAACAATCAACAAAGCGACTCGTTCTGACTTTTACAGCTACCATTATTTTTTACGAGGAGCTGATTTGTCCACTCTGTGCCAATGTTGCCAGATTGTCTATGATAAGACAATTTGATACCACTATGAGAAAGAGGAAGGGAAATATTATTCTTTCATTGTATGCAGCCAGAAAGACGTTGATAGAGGTTTAGAGATAATCTGATCCTTTCTCAAAATGGATATATCTGAAAATTTTTCACAAATTACATTATTTTTCTGTAATCACAATGACAATATATTATGTCATATTCTTGTTATGATTATTGAACAGATAGTTTTCAAACTTCGGACAAAATAATCTCCAGTGAAGGTATTGTCGTCGACTGGGCAGTCGAGAGGTTCGAAAATATCACTCTGTACCACTAAGCATGGCGTGGCTAAACATGGGGATCTCATTTACCCTAAGCAGAGAGATACAGAAAAGGTTAAATTAGGGCAAAGTTGCACCATTTCATGCTGAAGCAAAACCTGCGTTGAAATTGAAAAAATTTCGAATATTTCTGGAGGAATATACAGTTGATTTGGAAAGATATTCAGAAAGAAATTTCGATTCATCATTATTGCCATATTTTCTCCTCTACAAAATGGGATTGTCGAATTGGGAATCCGACGTTTCTTCTTCGAACGGCCATCATCAACTTTATGTTTTCAAATACGAACCAGGATTTTTCATTTTATTTTTCGATAGTTTTCGATCTCCTTGATATGACACAGCGTTTCTGGTATCTACTCGTCTTTGTCTAACACATTATTCAGTGCGAAGTACCTCGTACATAATTGAATTGCTCTTATTCTAAATGCATCATTTGCTATACGAAACCAAAAATGATAATTAAGCGATTGTTCATTACTTAATGAAATAATATTCATGAATCATGAAAATACAATTCAATCAAAATGCAAAAATTACCGAACATTGAGTTTTCTTCCATAGTTAATGCTCAGAAACATTTCTGTTTACTTTATCTAAAACTCTTCTCACATCAGACCTTTCAACATATCGCCTTCGTAAAGATCGAAAAGCGAGTATAATCGTATTTGTTGTATCGGTGGTAACGGTAGGTATAATTTACTGCCGCAGTTTTTCTATGTAGGCGGTGGAGCCTTTTTCGTAAACGGTGTTCTTTATGACGCCCCTGCGAAAAAATGGCGGTTTTAGAAACAGCAAATGAATGCTTAAACGCAAACGGAAATATTTTTTAGCATCTACATTCTACTATGAAAGAAAACATTACCTATGTTCGGAATGTTCTCCATATTGGATATTATTTGTTTGATTACATTTTGTTCTCATTATTCATGAATATTATTTCATTGAATAATAAACGGTTGTTCAATCTACATTTTTGGGTTGGTATAACTAATAATACATTTCGTTTAAGAGCAAGTCAATTATGTAGGAGGTACTTCGCACTGAATTATGTATTAGACAAAGACAAATTGATACCAAAAACGCTGTGTTAGACAAAGATGAGTATCCCCATTTTGAAACAATTATTTCACTGAAGTAAACATTTCATATATTCATTCAAGGAGATCGAAAACTATCGAAAAATGAAATATAAAATCCAGGTCCGTATTTAAAAAAATAAAGTTGATGATGGCCGCTCGAAGAAGAAACGTCGGATTCCTAATTTGACAATTCCATTTTGTTGATGAGGAAAAGTGGCAATGATAGAGTGACATTCATTTTGTAATATCAGTCCAAATGAACCGAGCAATAAATGGAAACAATTTTGCAGTTTCCTTTTTTCCGGATATCTCCGGAAATAATCGAAACTTTTCCAATTTCAAAGCAGCAATTTGTTGAGCTTCAAATGGAGCAACTTTGCCCTGATTCAACCTACTCTGTATTAGAGTCACTGGATGGTATTAGTTTGATAAGAGTTCGGACACAGCTGAACTTTTGTCCTTTTCTATTTCCTATAATACAATGTTTTAAGTGAATAAAAGAATAAGACATATATTCTGCTCTTTGTGATACATTATAGTGATACACTTCTAGCAGAACAACTGTTACATAAATGAAAAGAATGCATGTAAGAACATTTTAATATTAGAAAATATACACACACACACTGAACTTATAGCTATAATTCCTTATTGTATGTGAAACTGTACTCCAGTGATAAAAGTATAAAACATGGAGTTATTAATATCAAATTAAAGGTAGGTATTCTCAATATACAGGAAGTAACATAAGTATACGTTCAAGTGAAGTATTCCTGAGACAATTTTAAGAAATAAAGTCTATATAAGCTTGTGTCCGGAAATGCTTCATTTCGGAGATACAAGGTGTTGAAATACAGAGAACAAATCATTTTTCGATAAACATTTCATAGGAAAAAAGTTGTTGATCTTGCCGAGACCTGCCAAAAACTTGGTTTTGTAAAGTTCTCAGAAACTTCACTTAGCGTCCTAGGAGCTAAGTAACATGGATCGATATAGAAAATATCTCCAAAACGATAACCTCCAGCTAATTGAGGCCCTTATAATAATTCTCTTGATACATGAATAATTATTCGCTTTTCACTGTTAAATTTTGAATTTGGTCGGCACCAAAAACGCCATTCTATATAATATATCACGTTGTAGTTTCCTTGCTGATCTTAGTTTCGTTTTCAAATTTTCAATTTCGTTATGTAATTTTGCGATCATTTCCTCCTTTCCCTTGATTATTTTGTTTTGTATTTTGTGTGATGATAATAATGGAATTTTGTTCTTGAAATCGTCTGCTTTGTAACATGATGGAACAGCAGATTCTCTCAAACAGATTTTGAAATCTTCTGTTTGAAAATGGGCCTAAAATATAGTTTCATTCTCATCAGATGCTGTTATAAGAAGTGAATTTCAATGAGTACCTTAAGAATTTCGCTCGTCTTCAAATTGATTGTCCACCCAGGCCGTTCCATATATCTTCCTTCCATAAGCGAATGGTTGATATTTGTTGGAATATAGAACAAATGACATCCATTTCTTTTCAGAACTGGCACAATTTATTACACAGCAAGTGATTTCCATAGCTGCTTTTTTCTCAAAAGTATAATTATGAAATTTTATTTCAATTCTGACGTTTATAAAATTTATTGTCAAATTCAAACAATTTTGAATGAAAAAGCGTGGGACGATACTATGGTGCTCTTGCGATAATGCAAGTTGTGCGTAACTTAATAAATCTGAACATTCAAAAACACTAACCGTTGTCATTTCTGTGTCCGAACTCTTATCAAACTAATTACCATCCAGTGACTCTAAACTAATACCATCCAGTGACTCTACTCTGTATCACTTAAGGTTACCGAGATCCTCATACTTAGCCATACGAATTTGTAACACCCTGTATGGGAAAACGGAGACACTGACAGCAAAAATCATTCGACATCATCATCTTACGAATATTGTGTGGCACAATAATTTGTCTTTTCATACATTTTTGAATGCAAGAGTCTACTGAATCTTAGGAAAAGACCAGATCCTCCAGTCACGCAAGTGCGGGTGTTGTGGCCACATATTTGCCGTCATCCTCTCTGAAAAAATTGCTTGGTTTCACGCAAGAACAACCCATTTGAAGCACAGTGAAATGATGTACCCCTGCTAAGACACTGTATAATATTTGAATATTCGAAATTCCATAACAGCTTTATCATAGACGCAATCTGGTTCAGTGAGTACTATGTGGTTCTCGTTATTTTTTGTCGAACTGTCAAACTATCGATCGATTGTTGCATTATTGAAAATACCGGGATATACAAGTTGTCTATAGCTTTTGATTAGCCAGATTATATAAGGATTTTGAAATGAGTGAAATCACAGTACCAAAAGGGAAGATTTTAGGTGAGAAAATAATATTATTTGAACGATCAACATTCTTCATGTATACAAAATTATGTAGGTCCCAAAAAACACAAGTTTATTCATTGGACTACAAATAATGAATGTCCAGCTATGGACATCCTGGGCATCCATTGGATGTACAGCATTATCCAGTATCTCTCGAATGGACATCCATTGGATGATTCATGTCCAACAGAATGGATTTTCATTGAAAATACAATGATGGTTATCCATTTGCACATACAATGGAATTTCGTTTGATATCCAAATTTTGTCCAGGAACTGAGTTACGTTATTTTTCATCGAGATATGCCGAAGTTGAATATCCAAATGAACCCTTTTACAGACTTTATACACGACCCTCATCAAAAGTTTTACAGGGTGCATGATCCCTTAAAGCGTGACATCAATATCAACTTTTTCAAATGAAACACTGTTTTTCATATTTGCGGAATATGGGTGAGGGCATCTTTGACGGATAACCCTGTATATAATGCTTTCATACGAACAAAAATCAGAGACGTATAACATTTGCAGGCGCATCAATCTTTGCACGGTTCGAATGGTTTGAATAATTGAAATCAAAACTGCGAACTTTATACCTACCTACAAAAATGACGCGTCATTAGAGGTAAATCGTAAAAAATAACACCTCGCCTTCTGATTTCTTATCGCCCCATTATAGAGGTGGGCAATGGCATAGGACATCAACTTTTGATGTTCGATTTCAATGGCATTGATTAACAGATGCCAATGAAAAAATATTTGATTCATTCTGCTGTGACAACCCATATTCTGGCGCCCCTTCAATAAGCCTGCGCCCTAATACTGTCTATAACTTGCTCATGAGTTGGGCCGGCCCTGAATGACGAATACAAATTAATGTTCGTTCTATTTTCGTCGTGATCTTGATATAGGTATCACGAGATTCATGAGAACAGAACGTCGAACGACGATCGATTCAAGGTGAAATAACTGACCTATCTATTTACTCTACAAATCCATACAACATAAATGATACGACCACCGACTATACGCCGATTTTAATCAATACCTAGGTACCTATTTTTTATTTTCCTAACCACAAAACAGAAAGTCAACTTTATATGTGCCAAATCAACTAAAATCTTAACGATAGAATAAGCAGTTATTTTCTTGGTGTAAGTAGGTTTAGAAATAAGAATTATAATGTCTTTAAATGTATCAATCTGTGGAAATCTCATGTTTGGATTATTTAATTTACGTACTATAATATACATCTGTAGCATACTTAATGTAGATACTCATAATGTATAATAATCAAGAAGATAAGATAAAAATAGGGATCATACATAATATATAATTTTAGGTTTACAACTATTTTTGCTTATTAGTTTTGCGACGGCAGTGGCAAAGGCGAAACAGTTGACTATCATGAATAACCCACCTAAAGTTTTGGTGACAAATCCTACAGTGCCCAGTATTGGTATTGAACTGTTGACCGAAAAAGGGTGAGTTTGTTGTATAGCAATAACATTATTATCAAAATAAGAGAATTGCCTTCAGCTTGATGGTAAATTTCTTGGTTTCCATCTCATACCTATAGCTAGAAATAACCTATATGTATACAGGGTGTATTCGAGTATGTGGCCAAACTTCAGGGGGCTATTTTTTGAGTGATCCTATAATATATTAGCTTCGGAAAAGCATGATTTTCAAGATACAGACTGTCAAACTTTCTCAAAAATAGGTTGTTTGTGAATCAACGCTTTGGCTCAATGTAGACTAACATATTTTATTGTCCACCAGATCGCGCTACTGAGAGGCGAAGTAGAGGTTGGTAGAATACTGATAGGAACACTTGTTCTTTTCGTTTCATTTGCCTTCTTCCTATACGATATCTCCTTCCTTGTCAATGTAAAAATTGGATGTGAAAAGTTCCATATTAAGAGTTGAAAACGCAAGAATGATCAAGTCCAACCAAAACTTGAGCTCTTATTCTATCCGTTGACATAGGCCACATCATTTTTTAAAAATTTTTTGGGATAGATATCGTAGTAATCAGCGCTATCCGAAAAAAAATGGGATTAAAATTCCAAAACACTAGTACAAGTTTATGAAGGGACACTCTGCAGTAGTCTACTAGCTCGTACATACCTGAGAAAATAATAATATATACGATGAAGTGTACTATCGATAGGCATAGGCGCCGGAACTTCAAAATATCAAGAGGGGCAGAATAGATTAAGAATATATATATATACATATACATCATATAAAATGAAATAAATAATAATGAAAACAAACAAGAATTAAAGACAATGTTCATGTAGGTGTACATATATAACAAAAAAAATCGAATATCACAAAACCTAGAACAAAATAAAACAGTGAAGAAATTAACAAAACATTGAATAAAAATAAAATATATATGTAACGGTTGTGAGAAAAATATTCATTAGAGAAAGGCTATCGACCGGAGAAGTCTTATTTGAGCCCATGATTCAAATGTCTTTCATGTTTTACTGAAAACTCGCAATCTTTGGGCATTTCAACAAATAAAAGAGTTTGCTATTTTACCAATGACTATATCTTGAGTCATTTCTCGGTGACAGTGTAACACAATCGTGTTATTCAAACGCTGCTGTGTCATATCATTTCTAAGATATGATTTGAGCCTCCTTAGATAACTGAAGCTTCTCTCAGCGGTGCATGAAGTTGCTAGAATTGTTAATAAGAGCATTACCACTTTAAGATATTCTGGAAGAATATCTTTCAAATGATCATTTTTATTGAATATTTTTATGATTTCGGAAACAGAGTCATATTTTGCAACTTTATGAATATCAAAAAACATTTCTTTGTGTAAAATGGCCCGTGATTCATCAAAGTCGTCGCCGTATTCCTTCAAAATATTTCCATTCACATTCCTATCCAGTAAGAAGTTTTTCAATTTCAAGACCCTTTCAATTGCTTCAGAAGCAAATCTAGCTACTAAACCTTGGATACCTTGATCAAGAACCTCAAAGTATACTGGTCTATAAATATCTTCTGGAGATGTCGGAAAATGATGATTGGCAGAGTCTCCAAGTTTCTTTGACAACTTGCGTTGTCTTGGCAATTGGGGCTCCTCAATATCATATTTTTCAATCATTTTCATTGATTGTTGCCATAACAAGTTGAATTTTGTATTATTTTCTCGAGAGGTGGTGAATATTTCAATCAAACATTTGACTTTCCTCATTGATGAATCATTGATTGACATATCTATTTTTTGAAGACTACCGTTAACAGTCTCAACTCTTTCAAATATATCTATTAACATATTCAGTAAAAATACAAACTCAAAAGTCCGCAGTTTAACCAAAAAACCATTAGCTTTCGCTCCAGCATCAGAGTTTTCATTACTCGCTCCCTCCATAAATTTCAAAAGAGATTCATAGTTTGTCAAAATGCTTTTCAGCGATATAACTCTCATGCACCACCTAGTAGGACAAAATGGCCTCAAAGTAGCAGATTTGGATTCAAAACTTGTTTGTATATCTTTGAAAATCTCCAACCTTTTTGGCGAATTTTTTAAAAAATTCAGCATATCTCTTGCTAATACCAAAAAGTCTCTCACTTTGGGAATTTTCGTGAAGGAATCGTGAACTACTAAATTGAGAGTATGTGCTAAGCAATGAACATATAGTGCTCGTGGTTCATCCATGGTGATCCTGTTTTGGAGGTCTGTAAGACATCCACTCACATTTGCAGCCCCATCATAGCATTGTCCTCTGCATTTGTTAATATCAATCTGATATCGTATCAGTATGTCATTAACAATTTTTGAAGATTTGAAAGATTTATTCAATTGAAATAATATTCTTTGTAGAATTTCAGAGTAGTGTAATATGGAATTCTCAAGAGAGGCGTTGCCCCCCTTAATATTTCTCAAGGGGGGCGAGTGCCCCCCTTGCCCCCGTGGAATCGGCGCCTATGTCGATAGGTAATAATTTATTTGTTCCTTGAACATCGGTGTACCGAATGTTCTGTTGGATGCATAATATTTCACCATAATCATCAACATGTTATGTTACCTCAATAAATTCCATACTCTAATCTAAAAGTGCTCTCGTTAATTATATGCAAGGGGAATTTCCTGCGTAAAATCTTTACATGAGATTTTCGAATTAGAATCTCTAGAAAAATCACACCTTGAACTTGGGCCACATACCTAAAATAACACCCTGATGTATGTACCTATGTAGTATGTGGTTCCTAAGATAAAACAATATATTCAATATTCAAGGATTCCCAGCTGCTTATCAGGTTCATGAAGCTATTCTCATAAGAAATCAGTGGTCAATAAGTTTATGTATTTAGAAAATATTGATGAATGCTGAATCGAATAATATGCAGGGTGATTATATATAAGGACGTCCATTGGTCGTACACATTCGAACGTTCAACGTGCAGATCCATAATTGGACGTGCAGTGGATGCTTATCTGTCGACTTTCTGAATATCCACAGGACGTATCAGATTATACGTTGAACGTCAGTGGACTTTCACTGTATGTCCTGAGGACAACACTAGTACAGTTGAGACGTTCAATGAATGCTCGTCTTTGGATATCAAGTAACTACAAATATAGGTTTGTCTTTTCATCTATTTGCGATTGCATACATATGTAGTCGTTGTTTCATTTTTTTTTCATTATACTTGCTGGATTCTTCGTCCTGTGGAAAGGAAAGATATTCCGTAGTCGATCGATGCTAATAGTGTAGAATCCTAGTCTACGATCTCAATTCTTTTCAGCTCAACTTCGACAATGGTGGATGAACCTGAATTCAAATTCATAACAACCTATATAGGTTCATGTTTAAAATAAAATAATGCTTTGAATGATTAGGTCCCAAATAGACTGAATTCGAGAATTTACATACAATCTGAGCAACCACTGAAATTAATACATTGTATAATTTCAAAATATCTAAAATTCTTTAGTCGCACTCACGGACCAGAACTCAATTAATGGGGTGTAGTATATTCATTTGTTTCATTCATTCAATATTTCTCGACTTTTCCATTTTCATTAAAATTAAAAATTACTTTTCAGCTGTCAGGTGATTATTGTTGAAAATGAATCAAGAGAAGAAATTCTCAAGAAAGTGAAAGGAGTGGATGCGGTATTTTGGTTCTCGCATGAAAAGTTCAGCAACGATATTTTGGATGCGGCAGGTAGGTCTATATCATTGATTTTCTTCACTGACTTCTGCAATCACATGAACCACATACCTAATTATTTCCGTAGTATTTTATGACAGTCACCGGAAACAATTGATTAAACAGAATGGCAGAACAAATACGACATTCTACGGTTTTCAATTTCATTTTTCATTTTCAGTTGCCACTTCCTATCAATCGGCTAGTTTAGTAAGCATATAAAATCGCGATTACTGGATAGATTGGTCCTATATTCAGTTGTTTTAGTTTTATATCGGAAACTGGAACCTTTGGCACGATAATACACTATACAGTTTTACCACTAACCAAACCGATTTTTTACACCTTGACACGTGTTTCGCTAACTATGTTAGCATCTTCAGGATAAGATCAAAACTAAATGCTCCACACTGTATAGTTTAGTAATATAAAATGTGACCTCAACCATGAATCATTAACTTGGTGGTTATTATCTATTCACGGTTGGGTGGATATATACCTAGTATATAAGAAGTCCACTAGGATAGCGCATTTAGTTTTAATCTTCTCCTGAAGATGCTAACATAGTTTGCGGAACACGTGTCCAGGTGTAAAAAATCGGTTTGGTTAGTAGTAAAAACATTTATTTAGTTATCAATAAATAGAGCTGGATATGAAGTGGGATAATATTTCTTTCAACTTGTTTTTAGGAAGTCAACTCAAAGTGATAGGCACAATGTCAGCTGGATACAATCATTTCAATCTAGACGAGCTGAAGAAACGCGGTATCAAACTTGGAAATACTCCCAAAGTACTAAATGAAGCTGTAGCAGATGTGGCTATTCTGTTATCTTTAGCAGCTTCTAGGAGAATTCAAGAAGGACGACTAGCGATAGAAAAGTATGTCAAATCATAAATGCAAGTTTATAGCGTTGAACATGATTAGTTTTGGTGAACTATGGATGATGTAGGTTGAAAGTACAGCAATATAGTTCCCTCGTAAAAAGAAATGAGTAGACTATCACTATATAAGCAATGTCACTGGTGAAACTATTGGCAAGTTACATCAGCGAAGCACCACCTACTTACATGTATTGCTGATTCATTGTTGACCAATGATTCATGCTTGTATTGAAAATTGAATAAATTCATGGTTCAATCTAGCACAAAATCTTCGATGATATGTGTATGGTAAATTTATAATTGAATGTTGTAATATGTACCAAAATTTATTGAAGAAAATAACTGGAATCAGAAGATATGTACTTCTCATATTCAGTTAACTAGACTAACTTTATCAGAAGGTGAAACTGACAAGAGTTTGTGAACTTTCGTTCTGTTGCTTGATAGTGGAATTTCTGCATACCATGGACAAATAGACAAAAATCGTGGGATCTAGATCATAAAAAAAGCTTCAGGTATAGTTTTAGTAGTTGGTAGTGTTGGTACTAAACAAATCTGTGCAGGAGGTCGACATCAAGGTCAAATGCTACAAAATTTTGTTGTATGAAGGCTATAAAAGTCCTGTTTTTCCAAAATTTTGCAGACACTGTGAGTTGTCTCTCGTTGAAGAAATAGAAACACCTAAGTAATGGTTTGACTTGGCCGGACTTACGATTTTAACTTCCATCGTGTAACTTTTACGCGAAACTCTCACAATAAAATAAAATAAGTATACCTCTAATTGTTTCACCAACCATGAACTTACCTCTCAAAAAGTGCAGATGATCGAAACATGGGAGAAGCTGTATTAGTCTCAAAAATATTTATGGAAATGTTGATTATTTATTTCTCCATTCTTGATATTCCATCTGCATCCAAGTTTGGATGTCTGATGATTTTTGTACAATTCGCAGAATGTGGCCAATTTAGAGCCTTCGTTGTAGCCTCAAGGTCAGCTTCTTCATTTGACAATCCCACGACGTACCTATATGAAACTGTCAAAACCAATCAGAGTTGTGTGCCTCCATAGCACGCTGCTCCTTTCTAACCGGTAAGACCACGTCATCACGGCAATTGATCATTGAGGGGCACACAAACTATCTGTTAGGTTACCTTTGATGAGCATTGCCCTGGCCGTCCCAGCCACATCCACAATATTATAACAGTTTCACCAAACAAAATTATGAAAATACAATGTTTGCCCCTCAGCAACCTGTCAAATGACGTAATTCTGGAATGATTAATGGGTTGCGTGCAAGAACTGTCAGATGACCGACGCTGGAGGCAAAGTATTGAAACACAACGTCACTTTTCTTATTTGTTTACAAGTGATCCAAATAGTTTTTCACAATTATTTTGGCATACGAATCGTATTTTTCCGTTATTCATCAATTCGCTCATGCCATCACATTGTGCTGTTGTAAAATGCACAAAAACTGCAGCGGAAGATGAAGGAATCCGGATGGTACATTATGACTTAAAAGTAAGTACCTACTATAGTCACTCACATATAGTTTTCATTTTTGAAATTTGGTAATTTCTCTGATTTCTCATCGGAATTTCTTCTGCGATAGGAGCTAATAGAAATACACCTTGAATTTCTAAAATAATGCAAGAAGATTGGATTCATGCAATCAATCGGGAGGACTTGTCTGACATGCTGACGATCGTGTGTGTTGTAGACATTTTCAATCTATTAGTAGTATTAGCTTGTATTGCAGGAGTGGCAGAAGGCAGAAGGAATTTTAATAAGGAATGACAACATTTCATAATGATATAACTATGTGAGATTACTATTTACCTGAAAAATCATATTCCTTCGTCTCTTGCTGCATTTTTTGTGCATTGTACAACAGCAGAATGCGAAGGCATGCTTGAATTAATGAATAGCGCAAAAAACACGATTCGTATGCCAAAATATTGTGAAAAACTATTTGAATCCTTTGATTCCTCTGTAACCAAATAAAAAAGTGAGGTTTTGTTTCAATAATTTACAGAAGAATGAGGTTGTGTTTCAATATTTTGCCTCCAAGGTCGGCCATCGTTCACGCGACCTATTACGAATCTGAATAGAAAAAACATCTCGTCACTTGGTATGACACATGGAAATGACAGTTTTATATAGGTCGTGAAATTGTTATGAAGTCAATAAAGTTGTTTTTCCTCCACTAGCTGTAGAACCTACCATTATTTACTTCTTTTCGAAGCGTAAAGTGTGTATTTACTATACCAATGTGGTTTTTTTCATTTTATCAACCACTAGTCAATAATGACATAGCCACCTCTGTAATAATTAACCAGAATCCACTCATCTATTGCGATATTCGCAGAAATGGGACTCGAATGTAGTACGTATTTTAATCTATGGTAAAAGTCCATGATGGTATCTCAAAGTGGAGTGAATAGATTCATAAACAAGACACACCAAGTCATCTCCACAAATTTATTAACTGAATAATCAGTGTCTGAACATGTTTCGGACTATCAATAGTCCATCATCAGCAGAAGCATATTTTGAATGACAATTTCTACAAAGAACAGTTTTTTATATAGTTACAAATGTTATGGCAACAATAATATTAGTAGTACAATTTACATTACTAAAGATAAATAATGAAGGGCAAATTGCCCATGGGCCAAAGGGGGCTTTATGGAGGATCCCAACACTTGTTCATCCAATTGATCAGAGATAGAATGGGGCCCATCATGAGAATCGAGGTTAACATGACGCTGAAGAGCGGTGAAGAGGGGGTAGGTTAACTTGACATGGGATACGTGAAGTATGTCTAAAATGACAAGTGACACACAACTGTCCTGTGGCATAAACAAAGAGTATCGGGTGAGATGCGAGAAGAAGCAGGGCCGTAATGAGTCACATGTCAATGAAAAACAAAATTTTTTCAAAAAATGTTTCAGAAACAACAAGTAAACTGAGGAAAAGTACTTAACTAGTAGAGAATCCTCGTTAGAATTTGAGGGCGTTGAAAAATTTTTGGCAATCAAATTCTGTTTGTTCGTTCAAGGAAATAATGTTGTCATCTTTAATTGATTCATTAATTTCAAATATCTCTAACAAATTTAGAAGGTAGTAGGTATTTGTAGTACGTATTTGTCAACAAAGACTTTTTTTATGCTGTCATATAGTCATGGCTATTATTTTAATTGGAATTGAAGGAAATTCCTTTCATAGTGACAATAGGTTCATATTTCAGTTCACAGAACGATAATGATTGAAATATATTGCATGTGGTGGAAAAAATGTAATATACACCCTGGTAGTAAAGAATATCATTACCACGTGACCTTATATCCATCGGCTGAAGCCTCGGGATATAATCTTGGTCCCTGAGTAATAATGATATTCTTTACTACCTTGGTGTATGAATAACTATTATTCTTTATGTTTTCAATACTGGATAAAAAGATTTTGGAACACATATTTGTTATCATTGCATGAATAATTATGTAATTTTTCAGTAACCAATGGAAAAATACAGATGCACAGTGGTTGCTCGGCACAGACATAGCAAACTCGACAGTTGGAATAATAGGATTAGGAGGAATAGGACAAGCAATTGCTAAAAGATTGAAAGGGTTCGATGTCAAACAAGTTCTTTATACTGGACATAAGGAAAAACCTGAAGGTTGGTAGGTCAATTCTCACTAGATGACAATTGAGAATACATAATTTAATGTTTTAACTAGGTGAAGAGTTGGGAGCGAAATTCGTCTCTCTAGATACCCTGAATAGAGAGAGCGACTTTATAATAGTTGCAGTTCCTTTGACCAATGAAACCAATGGCATGTGCAACGAAGACTTCTTTTCGAAAATGAAGAAAACAGCAGTATTTATTAACGTCAGTAGAGGACAAGTGGTGGATCAGCCTGCATTGATTGATGCGCTCAAAAATGGAACAATTTTCGCTGCTGGCTTGGATGTGATGACTCCTGAACCATTACCATCCGATCATGAGATGTTGAAATTACCCAATCTCGGTTAGTTCAAATCACGTCTAATATACCTACCTGCACAATAACGTAAACAGGTTGAAGACCTTGAATGGGGCTTATTCCCTCTATAACTTGTCAATCTTATCATAATTCCCCGAGGTAGGAAGTAACTCAATCTTACTTCGTGAAGGTTTTCCGTCATTATCTCGATTATTCCTAGCGATTTCGACACCAGAATACATCGTTCAAATGAAGGGATGCGATAATCATACACGAAAAGGATGTCATTATTTTCTTTTTCAGAGCAATACTTTTCATGATGATTCCCCGCTAAACATTATATGTTCTAAAAAAAGATTTTCATTACTGAAACGCAGAATGTGAAGACACAATCAATCATGAATATAATCCTTGATTATATACTCAAAGATATAATGGAGACGCTCCTTTGAGATGAATTTCCATAAAATAAGTTCGAAACTACTTAGTTTCATGTCCATTCTGTACAGAATAGCGATCGATAAAGTCCAAGTCGTTCTTAATTCCAAAATAAAACAATTTTCAATTTTCGGGGCGGCAAACTGTGTCGTACATTCTGAATCTAGTATGAATTCAGCTGAAGATGAAGAATATAGCTAGGAAATAGCTTGCGAATAAAAAACGAATAGAAAAATAGAAGATGATATTTTACTAATGATCAATTAGACCTCAATAGTTCACCACTGTTGAATTCGTTTTCTTCAATTCAATTCAATTCAATTCAAAATATACTTTATTGTCTTAAGTTATCACTTGTTGACAAAGCTTGTTATACACATAAAATACATAAAAAATAAATAAATGAACAACACTAGTTTTAAAATCACACACTTGTTGACAACACTTGAAATGTATATAAATAAATAAAAATAAATTGATCCAACAGACAAAATATGTAATGTAAATATATATACACACAGCAATTTGAGAGACTCTAGTTAAAGCTTCGCAGAAAATATTCAGTCAAGTTGTACAATGATGTTTGTAGAAGTAATGCTTAGTAAGTAATAATATGTATTTGCTATCAACTCTTTCAAGTCAATCCGATATATAGCGTATTTTAATATAGATATTGTGCCTAATTTCCGAAAATGGAGGTTTATCGTACTTGTCCACAGGTAACTAATCCTTCAGGTTGGGAAAGTAAGATATATGAAAGTTAAGCAAGCCAACGTTAGTTTAGTTCATTGTTCCAGTATATCACCTGACGAAGCTACTGTGTTAGCGAAACATGTCGTGTGTTTGAGAATTTTGTGGAAATCTTATCGTTTGTGAAGTTTTTACATTTGTCATGGATTTCCATCAAGTAACGGCCGAGTCAATTCAAAAAATGGTTCATACTGTTTTCGGCTCGGTTTTTATTAAATTGACTATGATGTGAATGTATTTTAGGATCTGTTCTTCCGAAATTGACTTGTCGAAAACAAACTCATTATGTGATTTGGTTAAATAAACATCTATCCATCTATCACCTCCGGCTCACCTCTTAGAAGTCCCTTCTCACGCACTCTACAACCCCTTTATTGAGTGGACTGATGAGTTTATGTATGTTCTGATTATTGGTAACACTCGCGTATCTTAAAAATGAGATATTGACATGTATCAAAAACTATTCTGTTAGGAAGGGATCACACTTCAATCCAAAGCATAATGAAAGCAGGTTCTACTGGAGATCTACTTGCCTACGTCACCCATTTATGGCAAGCTTCATTAGAAAAACACGGGGAATCTTCAGCTGTCGCGTTGGACATATCGAAAGCATTCGACCGTGTTTGGCACGAAAGACTTCTCCACAAACTACCATCATACGGCTTACTACCCCAGCTATGCCATCTCTCATCGAGTTTTTTTCCAGGCAGATCGCTTCACGTGGTGGTGGACGGTGTATCGTCTGATACCATTGGCATCAATTCCGGCGTTCCACAAGGATCAATTTTGGCACCAATATTATTCCTTTTTCATATCAATGATCTGTCGGGAGTAACAACTTGCCCCATCCACAGCTTTGCAGATGATAGTACCCTACATACTGCGTTCTCTTCCAGAATTCCCATTTCTTCCCAGGAAACTAAGAACTCACGGCGAAGGCAGGTTAATGCTGTCAATGAAAACCTTGCTGAAATCACAGCCTGGGGAATCAACAACATGGTTGAATTCAACGCCACCAAAACTCAAGCCTGTATTTTCTCAAGTATGCCCGATATTGTAATGTCTGGCACCACCATCCCCTCCAAGCCCACCATATTTATGCTGGGTATTTTTATCAGCAACACTCTTTCATGGGATAATCATGTCAGATCCATCGCAAAAGCTGCTTCACAAAAACTCGGATTCTTGTTCCGTGCGAAAAGATACTTTACACCTCAACAGCTTCTCATGATCTACAAAGCGCAGATACGGCCTATTCTAGAATACTGTTTCCACATATGGGGTTCAGCACCAAAACATATGCTGATGCTCTTAGATTCCATCCAGAGAAGAGCCATTCGCCTGGTGGGTGACGCCACACTCACTTACTCTTTGTCATCATTGGAACACCGTAGAACCGTCGGCGACCTTTCACTTTTCTATCGATACTTCCACGGGAAATGTTCTTCGGAAATCTCTGCTATCATCTCCGTCACTAGCAATACCAGTCAGACGAACTAGACAAGCCCAGTCAGCACATCATTTCGTTGTCAACCTCGAAAGATGTCGAACAGCACTTTATCAAAACTCCTTCATCCATAGAACGGCTAAGCTCTGGAATTCATTGCCTGAGGAAGTATTCTCAACAACATATAATCTCCAGAAGTTGAAAACGATTCCAATCTTACCTCCTGTCCCTATCCTCCCTAGAAACGCACGATATTCTTTGAACATTATAGGGATTTCCTTTCGTGCGCTCCAAGTGCTAAAAAAAGTGTAACCACCCAATTTCGCCACAGGTCGTTGAGAAGTAACAGGTGAAAGAGTAACTTTGGTTTTTCCCTGCACAATGATCAAGTTATCAGCTTTCCACGAAAACTAATATTCAGTCTAACATTCCGGTACATGAATATACGATCTGATTGAAATTTTATGAAAATCGGACAAATATTGAAAAAGGTACAGGGTGATCAATTTGAGCAATGTTTTTGGTGGCCGTTTTTTTTTGCCAGTGAATGTATTATATCTTCGTTTCAGCATAGATATCTCAAAGTTGAAAGGTGTGTTTTACTGATTTTTCAACATTTTTTATTTTTATGAGAATAATATTCCACAAATCGTTGAATACCTCATAAACTTTTCTAAATACTTTTATTCTTAAACTAGATAAAGGACTACAATCGAATCTATATTTTTTTCAGTTGTCCTACCGCACATAGGAAGTGCTACTAAAAACACGAGAGATGCCATGTCCACTTTAACAGCTCAAAACATCTTGAGAGGTTTGGGTGGCGAAGAAATGTTTACTCCGGTCGTTTGAGAGGTTTTAACGATGAAGTTTATCTTGTTTTTGTACTAAAAGTTTATGATAATAAATTAAATCTGTAAGTTTGTCGAGTGGTTTGCTTTTCGAGTAGGTGGTCAGTAACATGACAATAAATTCACGTTCCTTTCATGTATTTTCATGATGTTTTCATTGAAACTTTTTCGATATTCAACGCAGGTACCTGAATATTGAATTTAGTTTTGTTGAATCACAATTCTCATTTGCGATAATGGAGTGAGTTGGCAATTAACGTAAAGTAGGGAAATTGTATCTGATTTGATATTGAACTTGTGTTTTTTAACTATAGAAAACCCATTTTTCTAGCGAATTTTCGAATTCCAATTATTTTTCCAACATTCGTAGGTTATAAGATTCACATTGATATCTCATTTGACAAATAACGAATGTGAAATAATGTTTGGTGGAAATAGTCTGCGTAACACTAGCCATTAATCAAACTCGGTTATTTTCTGTTCAATATTCACCAACAATGATTCTTTGAATAATTTTAATAATAATAATAATGATAATTTATTCATCTTTTTTGATCACAAAGAAACATGATATAGGATATGTCAGTGGAAAACGGTTCTCGTCAGAATAAAATAACATTAAGAACTATAAAGGGTATTTCAGACTTAAATGTACATACGATACCTGTAGATAGAGGATACTTCGGTGGTTCCAAATCACCCCCCATCGATATGTCTACAGTCTTTGATAACTGAGATGCAGGACGTTATCTTGATATTGGCAAAATCTTCATCTGGCTATAAAATCTGAAGCACTTTGTATAATCTATCCATACTTGGTAGAAATATTTCACTTACATTACCCATCAAAAACAAATGGAAATCCGGATCAGAATCCAGGTCCGTCTTGGGGAAAAACAGAAAACTTCTATCATCTCAAAAACAACACTCTGTATGGCAAAATTTCATTGATCGGTTTTGATATTTGGAAAGAACGGAAAAAATGAATGAAGTGACCTACTCTTGCGAGTGCGCATCCAATTTGAAAGATGGTTTATTATCACGTTTTGAAATATTCAGCTTCATTTCAAGGCATTTTTATTGAACTCATAATTCAAAACCCAATTTTTATACAGAAAAATAACAGTCTCCAAAGTTCAAACATAATTAGAGTCAAATTAGGTGAACTATCGATAAATTTGTTTGTTTGACAGAATAATTTGTCGATGATTCTAAAAATGTTCGAGGACTCATTTTATACTTTACTATTTATTCATAAGTTGCGGTAAAGTAGGGTGTGAAGGAAAAATGAAAATTCTGACAGTTCATAATCACTATAGTTGCGATATTATTGGCAAAGTTATTGTAGGCACAATTATGAACACTTTGAAATGTAACAACCCAATACAAGCACCAGAAATAATTATCTTAACATTACCAATAATATCACACTTATAGTGATTATGACCTGTCAGAATATCAGATTTTTTTGCACAGCCTACTTAACCGCAGCTCGTGAATTAATAGTGGAAAATGAAATGAGCCTTCAAAAATGTATGATACCATAGACAAGCAGTGATTCTGTCACAACAAATCTATCGATAGTTCACCTAATTCCACTCTGGAGATGTTGAACTTTGAAGACTGTTATTTTTTTGTATTGAAATTGTATTTTCTTATTATCAGTTCAATGAAAATGCCTCGAACAATCTGTCAAATTAGATGTGCACTCGTAAAAAGTAGGTCACTTATTTCATTTTTTTCCGCTCTTTTCAAATATCAAAACAGATCTACAGAATTTTGCCATTTTGCTTTTGAGATAAAAGAAGTTTTCTCTTTTTCCTCAAGACGGACCTGGATTCTGATCCGAATTTTTATTTGGTTTTGATGGGTAATATAAATGGAATATTTCAACCAAGTATGGATGAATTATACAAAGTGGTTCAAAAGTTATAACCAGATGAAGATTTTTCCAAATCAAGATAACGTCCTGTATCTTAGTTATGAAAGACGGTAGACATATCGATGGGGGTGATTTGAAACCACCGAAGTGTCCTCTATCTACAGGTATCGTATGTACATTTAAGTCTGAAACACCCTGTATATAAATATGAAAAATATAAATAAATCACAATACAGTAACTTCTGATAAACATCTAATATTTGTTGTTTAAAAATTCATATGTATCATAGAAACATTAGTAGCATAGGAACTTTTTGAGTTTATGTATAAATAAATTGAAGTTGTTTTCCAATCTTATACAGACCGGCAAATGATTAAAAAATTTGATTCCCTTGTACATTGGGTTTTCTTATAGACTTGTTCCGTGTTTGGGGGGTCTTATGAGGTTTGAAGATCGAGTAGGATAGTCGTGATAGTCTGAGTCGAAAGAAAAATCTTTGTATTTACTTTTGGCATGAACTATGCATTTGAAGATGTAAATTGAGTGAAATGTGAGTAGCTCATATTTTTTAAAATGATTTAGACATGTTTCTCTATTGTCTAAGTTGAAGATTAAACGAATTACCCTCTTCTGAGAAATGAAAACTCTGGACGCGCCCACTGCGCTACCCTAGATGATGATATTGTACGAAAGAAGCGAGTAAACGATAGCACCGAACATAAACAGAGACTTATGTTCGGTGACGATAGCATAGTAGACATTGAGCAATTTGCTCTTTGTGAAGATATTTGTTATTTGCAGTATAGCAAAGTAACCACTATTCAGTTTTTTGCAAACATGATTGATATTCGTATTCCGACTCATATTATTGTTCACAAATACACCTAAAAACTTTGTAGACTTCGAAAAAGGAACTTCAATATCATTTACTAAAATTCTGCTACTTTCAGATATTTCATTTCTGGTAAAAAACTGCTTAAAAATGGTTTTGGCAGAATTAACAATCAGAGAATTCCTCCTACACCACGAGGTAAATTCTCTAGACAGAATATTCATTTTCGAAATTAGTTCTTCCGCCGACTCAGCATCCGTTGCCAAAGTGGTATCATCAGCATATAAAATCAGATGTTTCGTGCTGACGTGATTAGGAAGATCATTTACGTATAGCAAAAAAATCAGAGGACCAAGAATTGATCCTTGGGGTACACCAGTGTCCACGTCATGTGGAAGAGATCTCTGATCGTCAATTTTCACAATAATTTTCCTGACCTCGAGGTAAGAATTGAGCCACGATAAAAATTTCCCTCGAAAACCCAGATCTCTCAGTTTATTTATTGTAATATTAGTATTAATCGAATCGAAAGCTTTCGAGAGATCAAAGAAGAGTGCACCTACATACCTTTTTTTATCCAATGAAGCATGAATATAATTGAGAAGTGCAACAGATGCACTCTCAGTTGATCTTCCTGGTAGGAAACCATTCTGATGTTCCGTTAAGACATTATACTTTGAAAGAAATGAATGCATCTGCTTGTATATACATTTTTCGATTATTTTGCATAATACACTCTGCACCGTTATTGGCCGGAAATTGTCGAGACTTAAATGATTCCCTTTTTTGAAAATTGATATGATATTGTCTTCAAAAATAGACAGAATTGTTTGACTTGTGGAAGAAGGTTGAAAACATACGTTTTAGATGGGCTCACTGCTGCATGTCAGACATACTAGAATTTTTAGGCAAACAAAATACACTAATTTTCATTTCAATTCTTTTATTTATTAGTACCCATAAAAACTCCTTATTAATACATTTACAGCAGATATTGTCAGTCATTGAAGTAATACTTTTCGTACCTTGTACTAGACATCACATACGTTAATATACCTTTTCAAAAATAATCATACAAAAATCACCTTCACAGATTGTTTTTCTTTATTGCATTCAATTAGTTGGCCTATTTCAACTATACATATATACTTCACAGATCATAGAACAAACAAGTTCTGTAAGATACAATTTGGAGTGGTGTGAAGGCTTCTATGCTCAGATCGGTATTTTACTAGGTAGGTGATGGTTTGTAAAAATTTGATATTCAAATGTATTTATGAGTATGTTAATAGTCAGATTCATCGATGCACATCTCACATGCCTGAATGTGAAGGTTTGCAAATAATCATTCTCTATAGAATATTTTTAACTGCCTGTGAAAATTTTTTGATTCTAGGAGATTTTGAGAAATTAGTTGGTACAACTGAAAACCAAGTTTTCATGTTTCGAGCCAATCTGAAATTCAAATAATCAACCCTATATATATTTCATGAAACAATTATTGCCTAAGTACCTACAGATTATGAATATCTACCACATTATTTACAATCTCGTTTAGACGAATCAAACGAATAAGTCTTTAATTTTGGTTGCAAAATAATTTCGGATTGGTCCGAAAATGAACATTTTCTTGAAATTCTACAACTAGAACGATCTAAATCTTCCTTTGGAATATATTATTATTCATTATAACGACTCTATATTTCATTTCGATTTTTTACGCCCGTGGCCTGTGCCTCGCTCTAGTTTCAAAAGAGGGCCTGACTACACCTTTTTCAATTGTAATTCAGAAAGCGTCAATTGTAATTCAGATTAGTCAATTATAATTCAGAATGTATAACATGTAATTCAGATTAGTGAAATGTAATTCAGAAAGTGTAACTTGTAATTCAGAATAGTCATTTTGTAATTCATAAAGCGAAATTTGTAATTCAGAAAGCATCACTTGTAATTCTTAAACACTATGGACCTAAATAAAGGTAGGGAATAGAAATCAACGAATGGTTTATTGTGTGGTGAACATCTTATATTTATCCACCAACGGGCATATCTTGAAATGCCACAGCTGAAGCATGGTGAATGGTGGTGTGTTGTGCAATTTATTTGACATTCATTTGATATTTCGAGTTACTTTCTATATATGATAACATGGCTTTGATTGTTGGTGGCTTGATTTACGTTAATGTCTCAAGGAGAATGATGCATGCTTTCTGAATTACAATTGACGGTTTCTGAATTACATTTCACTATTATGAATTACAAGTTACACTTTCTGAATTACAGTTCACTAATCTGAATTACATATTACGCTTTCTGAATTACAATTAACTAATCTGAATTACAACTCATACTTTCTGAATTACGATTGAATATTCTGAATTACAACTCATTCTTTCTGGATTACATCTTATACTTCCTGAATTACAATTGAAAAAGGTGTAGATACAAATATTAGTGAATATATTCCGATACCTACTTAGTAAAATCTGAAAAAAGAATCAACTACTTGTATCTGAACGATTTATAGCCTTCTTCAATTCAAAACTGAACATTGAACATGAGACCTCCAAAGTATCTTATAACAAATTCTGTACAAAATCCTATATCTATGTTGGAATTCTTACTGAAACTAAAGAAAGAGTAAGTATTGAGAGAAAGTGTTAGAAAATTTCACAAGGTGATTTACTAATACATAATATGCTCATCTCCTATCATCCTCTAATTAGTTTTCATCTTTTACCGAAATACTGTATGCTGGAAGTGGCATATTCATTTTCCTAGATTTTTCGGATTTTCTCTGTTCATCTCTATGAATAAACCTTCTTTAGAAATCTAAGAGAGAAATTGAATCGATAGTTAGCAATATCTTGTTTGACAAGTGTTTGGAGAAGAATGAAGGTCTACATAGAAATGAAAAATATGAGTCTAGGTCGATATTTTCGCTTTCGTCTTTCAACACGTCACAGTCACACATATGTCAAAAAAATATGAGTAACAGGGTGTTCTTCTGATTGATCTTGAATTTACATTTTCATGCTGAGATTTTGAGAGTACCATATCCATACCTCCTCGATTGAGAAAGTATATTTATCAAATATAATGTTTGATTTATTAATGCCACGCCGTTTCATTGGCCTCTGCCATTTGTTTCTAAAGAGTTCAAGTAGGCCATGGGGAAGCCGCCCTGCACGTCGTTGCCCGAAGTACAGTGGCGGAGACGGATTAAATCACCGACATAGCTGTACTTTATCTAGACCGCTACATGTCACATCCTAACTACCCGAAAATTCATCCAAATTGCTTGCCTGATTGAAACACTTCAGCTCAACTCGCAGAATATATGAACTGTCATTCATGACTTTGATGTGAATATTGAAATCAGGCGAGTAACCATTTTGCTCAAAGGCGTCGACCTATAAATGATTATTATAAATCAGAGGTTATGTATAAATGGAGCATTTTGATCTATTGGAACACGTGTTATTATTTGATAAATCTCGCAGAGCATTTGTATTAAGAAATTTTCGTTATCAATTCTCAGTATAGGTATTTTTGAACTGTTTCACCTGCATTTTGAATATTTTATCAATTTTCCAAACCTTACATAGTAGGCCCTACAAAATATTTGTGTAAGAAAAACAACATTAGTTTGATCTCCTATCAATACAATTATTTACCTACTTATATGTTACAAACATGGATGCGAATAAGTTCAAAAACTTGGTAAGGCAATATCTGATATAATCATCTGTTTATTCTGTATCAGAGTATATAGACACCACTCCGTCATATGATCATCCTCTCTGACCACAAAATATCTTTGTTCTGAAACAAGGCTGTATTCGTCTTGAACTGTATTGTTCTTCTACTCTGTCTGTATATGTATGTATTTTTATTATTTGTCTGTTTGTTTCATGTTATTTTAATCGATATCTCATACTTCGTAAGTGAGTATAACTGTATCTGTATGCATATCAGTAATCGACTTTTCTAGTCTGACTCACTGCAAAATGTTTCGACATGAACGTGGTTGAATGTATAACTATGTCTATGTGGATGAACTTTCGACTTATGGTATTCGCAGTCGAGATATGCTATGTCGGTGAACTAAATCCAAAATGATTCCGAGTAAGTATGTGTACACAAGTGACCGTAAGCTCACTACCAACGCAAACATGAACAATTGAATAAACACATGTGTAGCCCTCAATTACTACGTTTACGTCAACGTTCTTGGCAACTCTTCAACTCTCCGTACCCTGATCTTCAACACAATCCGCTCTTGAACTCCAAGAAGGTATGCTCTGTCACCGAAACCATGACGTTCGCCTTGTCGCTGCGCCACTGCCTAACGACGTAGACGGACAGCGCCACGACGGCCGTCAGGACGACCGTTCCGAGCGCCGACAGCGCGAACGAGTTCAAGTAGGCCGTGGGGAAGCCGCCCTGTACGGAACAGTTGGCTTCCTGCTCGTCGTTGCCCGAAGGACAGTGGCGGAGGCCGTCGCACCACAGGTCGGCGCTGATGCAGGCGCCGAGTTCGGGGCAACTGGAACATCATAATGATATAATAATAATAAAATAATAATAATAATAATAACGAATCGGCTTCATTAACGGGATGGAAACGAATTCATAATGTGCAACACTAATGTTGGCGAAGTCTAGCTAATAGCTACTCAAACTCAAGCAAATTAGGTTACAGGATATAATACAATATAATGATACATAACAATATTATACAATAAGAAATCGCAAAAAAAATACTGAATTCAAAAATTATGGGCTGTTGCTCCAGTGGTGTGGGTGGGTGAATAGGTGTTCATTGATTGGTAAAAATAAATTGCTTGTATTTGTATTCGAATTTTTTTATATTTAGAAGTTTAAATTCCTCAAGTAACAGGTCATAAAGTTGAATCGAATTGAATACAAAGGATACAAAGGAACATGGATGTGCGATGATGAGGCATAGCTAGTTTATTTATTTTTCTGATGTTCCTTGAATGTACTTTGATACGTGGAATTAACTTGCTTTTCAAAGGGGACGAGTGTGACAGATTCATCAGTTCCATAACAAAGTTATCTAGGTGATAAGTTCTTCGATTAGTCATATTCAACCATTCAGTTTTCTCAAATTTTCGAGAGATAGATTCAAATTTCCTGATGCCATAGATCAAACGACAGCATGAGTTTTCGACTTTTTGTATACGATTTTTATCGATTGAAAGTAGACATGGACCGTATATAAAATCACAATAATTGAAGTGACTCAATACTAGTAAGTCACATATCATTTTCTTCAATATAATACTCATGATATGACGGTTACAATATAACATATACAAAGGAACATGGATGTGCGATGATGAGGCATAGCTAGTTTATTAATTTTTCTGATGTTCCTTGAATGTACTTTGACACGTGGAATTAACTTGCTTTTCAAAGGGGACGAGTGTGACATATTCATCAGTTCAATGACAAAGTTATCTAGGTGATAAGTTCTTCGATTAGTCATATTCAACCATTCAGTTTTCTTAAATTTTCGAGAGATAGATTCAAATTTCCTGATGCTATAGATCAAACGACAGCATGTGTTTTCGACTTTTTCTATGCGATTTTTATCGATTGAAAGTAGACATGGACCGTATATAAAATCACAATAATTGAAGTGACTCAATACTAGTGAGTCACATATCATTTTCTTCAATATAATACTCATGATATGACGGTTACAATATAACATAACATGTTCTGAGAATCTGAGCTCTGTATCGAGGTGGATGCCCAAATTTCTCGTTGAATCTACAATGCTCAAAATATGACCACCAATATTAACACGCAAGTTCTCACTGATCGTATTCCTTTTGGCATGTGCACATTCATATAATCATTGATATCGAAGTGTGTATAAAGTTGAGTATCATCGGCATGGGCTTGCACTTTGCAAAATTCAACAGAAGTAAGTATGTCCGCTGTATGGATGATGAATATGAGCGGTCCAAAAATAGATCCCTGGGGAACCCCTGAGAAGATACCCAAGGATGAGGAATACTCAAACCTAACAAATATGACCAAATAAGAAAAGCCGCCTCATCATCAAAACCATAATAGCGCAGTTAAACAAAGATGATCTCATGATTTATAGTATGAAAGGCTTTCGAAAAATCTAATAGCACGATCAGCCAGCTAGCTAAACCCTTATCTAGAGATTCCATTATATCAGTTGTATCCATTGTCAGTACCGTACCAGTGCCATACCCCTTTCTGAAACCACACTGCGAATCAGGTATCAACTTTTTTATTGTAGAGTATTCAAATATTTGGTAATAAATATTTCTTTCAAAAATTTTAGACATAGTTGGTAAGAAACTGATGATTCTCATATCAGAAAAGCTCGAAGGATCACTTTTATTGGGAAAAAGGCTTACCAACAGCATGTCTTGTGAAATATTATGAACATCTTCCACGGTCGTTGAATGAAATAAAAATTTCTTATCGAGATCAAATGAATTCCTACTAAAAAAATCAATCTTCTCAACACAGTTATTAGTAACATGTTGTACAAATTTAGCAAAAAAAATATTGATTTCGTAGGGATTTGATAAATGATCAGGTATTATGAGATTATTGTTAGCACAAATATTGAGATTGCTCAGTATGCATTCCATGTTTTACGAGAATTATATTGAGCAGCTGTCAATGTCCTTTTCCAAAATCACATCAAACCAGGGTAATGCTCGGAAGTTGATCAAAAGAGAATCGATGTTGAAGTTTTCTAAGCATCAATAAGTTACACTTTTCGTTCAATGTTGTTTATTTTGTCTGATATTCTGTCATCTCAATTTTCAAAACTTCAAGATCATTTTTGAATTGATTGAGAGAATCATTAATAGATTTCTCAAATACTTTGAGCTTTCCAAATATTATATCATTATTAGTATTATCTGACCTGGAAGTACTTTCATTTGTTTCGGAACGAAAATTATCTTTCAGCTCCTTCATACCATTATGAAACAGCTCACTCAACTTATCCATACGGGCACTTAGTTCTTTCACAGTCACATTTCTTATTGGTGGCATTTTGGCAAAATGAGAAATGAGAATATTTATGTTTTCATTTATGTGTATGATGTTGAATTAGGGTTAGTTGGTTTGTATTCAAGGAAGTAACTGTTAGATGGTTAATACAGTTTGGTTACTAAAAAGGTATATTTTGTTCAATAATCTGCCGAACCAGGCGTGTATACAAAGAAGGGGAGGGAGGTTATTACCTCCATTACCACCGACGATCGAAGAAAATTCAGTGTATCAATCAAAATCAACATCAAGATCCACAATCTGAATCTTGTTTCATTCAACACGTAACAAGTATCTAATCTATGTTTTCCTAAAAACTGAAAAATGGCAAAACTACATCGTGAAATTTTGTTGTTTTATTCTGACAATTTGATTTATGTATATGAAATCCCTTATGCCGGTGTGATTTTGTCATTATGATAGAGAAAAAAGTTTGGGCCACGGTCGATGGTTCCTTAGACGTTTACAGATAGAGGAATATAGGGTCATTCAGAAAATTCGGTTACTCAAGTAGTTGCTCTTAATCTATCGATATAAAATATTGTCAGCAGTGCAGCGCTGCCGTTTATAAACCAGAAAGTAGTATCAACTTTGATATTTCAAATATCCTGTATCTCATTGAGTGTTTGGATTCTCCCTGAAGAGCCGATATAATCAATGTATCACACTTGGGGTCTAGCGGGGATGAATGTGAATGAAGAATCTCGAATTTTCAATTTCAGAATTTTTTGTGTCGAAACTATTATCAGTCAAAACGGCTTTCATGTGGATATCTTGACTTGATCAGAATTCTAAATGTTGAACAACCCTGTATTTCTTAGTGTAGCAGTGTCAGATTTTTTACTTTCACACCATATGTTATAGAGAATTTCTGGAAATCTAACGAAATGAAAGATAACATGTTTGATTGGCCACCAGATCGTACTACTAATGAGCCGTCTTCCATGGCATACTTTTTATTTCGTTTGAACCTCGTCAACTTGAAGGTATCTTTTTCTCTGTTTATTTGAAACAAGTAACGATATTCGAGTGGCCACCGGGTAGTTTGGATTCAAATGGAAATGAACATGCTAGGAAGTCAAATAGCAATTCAAAACTGTATTAAAAGCTTGCCAGGTGGTATGGAAGATGTGATAAGAAGACGAGGTGGCAATATACCGGATAATATATTTTGGATGTTTGCTTGAGCTACTCAATAAGATGATGTTGTTGATGGCATTGAAGAACTACGATATTTTGAATCAAAACATGATGAAATTGAATTCTGCCGCTCAATTTTTCTACAGCTGGTCAAAAATTGTAGGATTTCTTTCTGTATGATGGTCGAGCTATCAGTATTTTTTGAGAACTTGGATTCAGGATAGCATTCCGACGCAAATATCCATACTTTGCTGAAAATTTGACCCCATCAGAAACATAGTTGAAAAGTTATGAACGACTAAAATCAACTCGAATTATCTTTGTCCGGAAATTGTATTCAGGGATTGTATAGTTAGGTTCCCACGACCTCATCCCGTTACAGGTTTGGGCCTTTCTTTATACATTATTCTTCAATTTCCGAGATATTTCCTTTTCCAAGTTTCAAATTTGACAAGCACAATGTAGAGGAAACTCAATACAATATACGAATATATTGGGTGATGGATGGAATGTGATGGAATGTGACGAATATTGCGGATGTTTTGTGATATAAAGAGTCCTCTGGCAATACCAACGATGTTTTCTTGTAATTCGCATTGTTACCTAGCGAGACATGAATGTGACATCTCAGGGATGTTTGTGTTAACTGGGTATTTTATTCCAAGGTCGGTTAGTGATTGCTTCGCTGAGTAGGCGGTCTTAGGACTGCTGGCTGGAGACTACACTGCACTGATGAGAGTCAAAGAGCTCGAAACCGGTCTGTGGTTGTCTAGCGGCCTGGCTTAATCGAAATCAATAGGCATTTAGGAAATAATCACTTGTATCAGTATTCGTTTATACGAGTCGATGCATAGATTTCGGGTGGATGTAATTCAATATCCTGCGTGGCATTAGCCAGGGAAGTAGTTGTTTTTCTCCCGAAATCTACCATTGTTGTTCATTTTATGAACACTGTGTGGAAATGACTTTGAGCTTTTTGCATTTATTTACCTATAATGTTGTTGAAACATCATGCGTACCTAGGATCTGGAGATGAGGCAGGTGTTGGATTTTTTTGAACTTTTGTAGGTTATTAGTTCTTGGAAATTCTCCCATTGGCGAAGAATTCCAAAGCTTCGCCGCTCCATAGACGAACAAGTTTTGGTAGAGTAATGTTCGACATTTTTCAAGGTTAGCGACGAAAGGATGTGCTCACTGGGACTGCCAACTTTGTCTGACTGGTAGTGCTAGTGATGAATATATAGCAGATATAGATTTCTGAGGAACATTTCTCGTAGAAGTTAATATAGAAAAGTGGAAGGTGGCGTAGAATTCAACTAGATTGTTGGTTCCGCCGCAAGATCTCCATTGATAGCGTTGGCCTGCCTTCGTCGTGAATTCTCAGTTTTCTCGGAAGAAATGAGAATTCTAAAAAAGAACGCAGTATGGAGAGTAATATCGTCTGCAAAGCTGTGGATAGGGCAAGTGGTTGCTCCTCATAGATCTTCAATATACAGAAGGAACAATGATGGTGCCACAATCATTGATTTTTGTGTAACACCGGAATTGATGGCAATGGTATCAGACGATACTACGTCGACCATCACATGGAGCGATCTGCCTGAAAGAAAACTCGATAAAAGATGGCATACCTGAGGTGGTAAGCCATATGATGATAGTTTGTGGAGCAGTCCTTGGTGCCAAACACGGTCGAATACGATATTTTCAATGTCACAGGTAGATATCCCCCATGTTCTTTATTTTATATTCTTATCACATATAATCAAGCGAATATGAAGTTTCGTATATGAACTTATATCAACCTCTACTGATTCCTGTGATTGTCATGGCCAACTCGACAGTTTTGACACTAAAAATCACTGACTCAAACTTCATCTCCTGGTACATTCGATACATTATTCGATATTTGATACCAAATGAAGTTGATATAAAAAATACACAATGGCATTACTTATTATTTATATTAGTAATTTTCAAACTATCGATTTCATTTCAAGCAATCTGACGAACAATATTTTAGTTATAGCCTGTTTTTTGTGTCATACTGAAATATCAAGAAATAAATTTGCCCCCTCCGCGTACGCCCATGAATACTCATATTCGTAAAACCATAGATAAAACTGTCTGATCTCTTCTTGTAGCGGTTTTTCCGTATCAAACTTTCCCATTCATCCATCAGATATACATGAACTGCCTGTAGGCAATCCAGAAAGGGTGTATCTTCATGAAAAGAGTCCCTAATGGAAGATTGTGTCTGTTCAATAATGTATGACGTAATCTCTAGAGTGCTTTGGAAAAATGCAGGGTGAGAGAACAAAACCGTCGACCACACTCAATAGAGCTTTATATTGTTATTAACGTCAAACTTGGGTGCCACCAAATCCCAAAGCGACCGCAGACTTCCGAACTAGTAGAAAGAAAACACTTCAATCAAACAACTTCCTGATAATACCCTAGTTTTCCAGATGCCCGGAACTTGGCAACTGGGTGTATATATATATCTCACGAACTTTGATACGAATGGGAGCTGCCTGAGACAATATCTCGAAACCTTGTGGGATTAGTGGATATCGAACTATATGTATTTCCATTCAGTTGGGAGTATACAATGAGACCAAGAAGAGGCTGCACAGCATGGGGATATCGGAAACAGTAGGAAATACATATTCGGTTATATGGGAAAAAGTTGTGCATTCACAGGGTCATTTCAATAGCCATTTTCATTCTAAGTTATTATTGGAGATACAGAAAGAACTGAAAATATTTTCCATAGCATATTTTGATGATATTTAACGTGATGATATTGATTTCTCTATGCGACGTTTCGTATTCGTAGAAATATTATCATTTTTTTTTTTAATACAGACCTGATTGTGTTTACAGATTCTGGCATTTTCTCGTCCTGTGCTCAACTCATTATGTCTTTTGGTTGAGGAGACAATACACATGTTCATCCATTATATACATCCTGCAGTATTCCCTTTTGCAATCAGTATATCATGCATATTGCTTTGATGACTACAAGTTATAAATATAGCAGAGGTAACGAACAAAAAATGGATCTTGATTCAATCTCGTTAAAATGCATTTTCAAACCTGTACAATAAAGTGTCACAAAGGAAGGAACTAAATGGAAGTGAATAAAGGAGATAGTAGAGTCCCAGGAAGGAATCTCAGATGCCGTATCTTTCACATTACGAAATTGAAATATTTTGATCTACTCACCTATGCAAACACTCAGGTGGAGTTATCATCGGCGACGAACTTGACAAAGTTAAAGCTGGATTCTTGGATACGTCCATCCATGTAACAGCAAAATTACCAGTCTCTGTTCTCAAAAATTCTATGATAAAACTCCTTGAGTTTCTATTACGTATTTTTTTGTAGCTGTACAAACTCCAACCGTCAGAAAACATTTCAACTACATCATCCATACTGTCGAAATGGGGACAAATAATGTGAACTACTTCTGTCTCGCCTGCTGGATACACCAGTATTCGATTTCTGCTTTTGCAAAGTCTCAAATCTCTCTTTTGGGTACCTCTTATCTTCAAATAGATGAAATTTCCCCCTTCTTCTGGTTCAATCAACCAAGGTTGATCCAGACAATATCTTATACTTTGATTATGGTGGTCAGTATCATCATTCTTCCGCAAAGTGTATTCCTGATTCCTTATAGAAATTTCGCCACTCGAACCTCGAAGCCTCCTATTTTTCCAAGGATTCAGACAGTTACTTTCGTTTGGTACAAACTCGAAGTAAGCATCGAAAAAGTAGTTGTTGTAGTCTTCATTTATCTTCATCTTACTCACTCTGAATTTAACAACAACCTTCTTGGACGATTTTGTAGTGATGGTGAAAGGCTCGGTGATGTTATGGCAAATACAATCGCGGACAATCTCGACATCCTTCCAAGGATACTCGGAAACCTGCAAAAAACCTACACCTTGATCATTCTGCTGAGCCTTACACTCCCATCGATTCACTTCTCGGTCGAACACAGAAACACACTCCTTAGATCCGAACTGGGCCTTGTTGAACGTTATCCTCAATCTCTGATACTCATTCGATTCGAACTGATATGTACACGTTAAGTCTTCTTGGCCGCCTCTACCAAACAGAAATGAAATCTTCGGGGAGTAGAACCGTCCGTTGGCAGTCCTGAACAGCCTATCACAAGGGTTCCTGGAGGCCTGCAGCCCCTCTTGAGAGAGATCCACGAACTCGTACCTCAATATGAAGTTAACCGGATAGAGGACGCTGCCGTATTTGATGGAGTGTGATATGGTGAGGTCGGAATTGGTGCTGACGTAGCTCTCGCTGAGACCACACGGCCTGGTTAGTCTGGAGGAGTTTTTCAGCAACGTGTGGTCGCACAGTTTCGGCGTATCGTCTTTGCAGAACTGCCCGATCAGCGGAACCGTGGCCTCACTTTTGATATCTCCGTCCCAGATCTGTAGCTGGACGTCGCAGTCCTCGGCGTTGAAGTCGGTCAGTCTTTCGCTGGTCACGTGGTATTTTATGAAGGATATCCAGATTATCTCGGTGGGGTGGCCTCGGAAGTGGTAGTGGCAAGTTGTGTTTGGTGGGAGTGAGTGCAGGGGGCTTTTTAAGAGGCCGGAGGTGTTGTCGAAGGTGGTCACGAGGAATTCGCATTTCTTGCCGTGTTCGATGTAGGTGGGCGATTCTTTGTTCACATAGAATACCTGGAAGGGTGGAGGTTATTAGCAACTATTTTTCACTCATGGAAATATATGTGAATATTGTGTTTGTTCATGAAACGGGCATTCTGTAACCCAATTTGACGGAAAATGCGATGATCTTTTCAGGCTTCATATAATATGCAGAAGGTTGGTCCCACAAAGCGTGACCAAAACTGATAAACCACATATTGATTTTTTCGGAAAGATCCTATTTTTCTATTTTTTTGGTATCTGTGATTTTTGTGTGTCGCACTTCAAGTAGCTTTGAGTAGCACCAGCCCCGTTACTACCATATTTGTTAACCGATTTCTATTTTTTTATCGCTCAACAATACGATTCACATTACTGAGTTCTCGGTGCAAAAAATAATTTATATTCAGATGCACTGTTTCAGTAGGCCTTTTATTTTTATCATACACTAGATGTGGTTGGTACAAAAGATTATAATAATTTTTCGAGTACAATTTATATTATATTATTAGGAAGTGCATACTGCAATTCAATTCTGAGCAACCAGATATTTCAAGTTAGATATTCTGAGGAATGCTGATAGTTCTTAGGTTCACATTTGGAATGTTCGATAATAATGATAATATCGATGAGGATTGCAGAGATGAATGAATTTCTAGTAATATATTGGTTCTTCAAAGCTTGTACAATGATTAATGTCTTATTCAAACAACATCATGTGTATGATGACTATAATAGAGCTACTAAATAAGCGTTCATTTGATAATGAATGGATGAAAAATACGTTGATTGTTGAATTTTCAACGTTGTAAATTTGATTGAGACATTTTTACCGATTTTCAACAGATGGTTACTCAACCAAATCTCAACGTTTTCCAACGTATTGCATGTTTATTAGGGGTGTTCTGGGAGTAGGTTAATATAATCATGATGGTATTCTTATATTTCTCAAATGATTTTTTCTATGAAAAACAGATAATTGATAATGAAGAACGTCTCGTATACAATATGATATCATAGTGAAAATTGTAGCATACGTTATTCAGTAGTGTCTCAACCAGTGGCGTAATTAAGATATATTCCAGGGGGGGCCAAACCACATGCCCCCCCACCCTAGATAACGTCACTGGTCTCAACATGCTGATGATATTGGTTCCTTGCTAAAAAATGTATGATATTGATGACATTTTTCGAATCGCGAATCGATCATAGTTGCCGTGAAATACTGCAATGCACGAATTGGAAACTCCGGAAAGTGAATCATATCACATGTCGAGTGAAAAAAAATCAAATCGGTCTACGAATAGAATATACAAGGGTGGTGCGTACTGCTGAAAGTGATGGGACACACTGTATATGCTTATATGGAGTTTTGTCTCAAAATAATTTTGAGATTGATCCTCTTCAATATTGATATTCATTATTTAATCATGAAGAAGATTGAGAAAATAAGTGAGTTGAAATAAAAACTAAACGAAGGAGTTGAAACGACGCAGATTTTCCATAAACTACATTTACTCCACTTTAGATATTAGCTGTTTGGAGTTTTGTGTTCAGAACAGATGCAGTTGCAGTAATTGGTACCTACCCTAACAAGGGGAAACTTATGAGATGTTGCTACGAATCTCTCATTGTTTATATTTGATAATCATCAAACTCCAGCAGGATGATCATTATTGCACTCGATAATTGAACTCACGTTGAAATTTCAAAATACATATCCAGTTTCTAAAGTAAACCCACCGAGTTTTAGTCATCTGGAAAACTTTCCATGATTCATATTCTCTCAAGAACAATTGAGTATATCTATACCTCACCCTATTATGTTTCTTGTAGAAACACAATCAGCACAATGAAAAGTGAGAGTTGAAATGAAAAATACCGCTTCAACCAGTTATATTGATTTCATGATTAACTTGGTCACAATTATTATAGAGTGGTGCATCTATATAATTGGATTGGTTACAGCTAACCCAAAATGTCGCCGTTGGCAGATAACGTCACCTGTTATACCTAGTGATAGCCATCTTGTACGGCGTCATCTGTTGAAGGAGGCCATCTTGATTTTTCATTCCTTCTCTTAAGCCTCACATATACGTTCAGGTGTTTTGAAACTCATTTGTTTTCTAAGAATATTCCATAAAAATGAAAAAAAGCAAAAGGAGGTGCAAACAGCTTATTTCAGTTGAATTATTTGGTATTGCAGTATTTTTCTCACCTCAACTTCCAATTCTAATCCTGGCAAATACGATATGGGCAATGGATGGAAGGGATTTCCATATGGAGATGTGTGAAATTTAACTAGGAGCTCAGGTCCACTGCTTATGATTTCCGGAATCGTTTCTCCACTACACAAATGAGCCAGAGTGGTTGCACTAGATCCCCAGCCGTCTAAGATTTCGATGTAATCTTGCATCATATTGCATTGGTCCCAAATTCTGTGAATTCAAAATTATCAGGATTGTTCAAGTTATAGTAGAAAAGCCGGCTGTTATAATTTCGACCGTCATCTGATAACAGAATGATATAAGTACAGTCCCACAGGCACAAGTATGAGAACATCGTATTTCATCGAACGGTACCTGTACCAATCACTATCCTGAGCACGATGATTGAAAAATGCCACTTTGCTGTGAGGTTATTTGGATTTAACACTGCCATTTGGTAACGAGATAAGAATTATGTCTACCGATACCAATTGAATGGTAGATCTCAAAATCTTATTGATTGATTGATTGATTAATGGCAGAATGATCAGTCAGGGTTTGAAGCCCAAAACACTGCAGCCTTTGGGCCTATTGTATTCCTGATCATGCTGTTGACTCAGGTGAACAGGTTCGCTACCTTGATGAGGTTTAGCAGCCTCTTCACCAGATCATTCTTTGAAAATGCCTCTTGAGAGTTTACTGCTCCCAGAAGGTTGTATCTCCAACGCGCTAGTGCTTCGCACTCCAGTATTACATGGGTGGCAGTTTCCTCCTCCTCATTGCATAGTCTGCATATGGGTTCGTCTGTATAGATGCCCATTTGATGCATATGTTTCCTCAAGGGGCAGTGACCGGTTATTAGTCCCGTCACTTGTTTGATCTGACTTCTGTTTAGGCTCAGAATGTCGTTAGTCACTGTTTTGGACAGTGTTCCAACCATCAGTTTACTGTGTCTTTGTCCTGGGACATTGTTCCAGTATGCCTGATGTCTTTCTTGCATCCACCTTGCCAGCCAGCCGCGTATTGAGGTTTTGGGGATACCGAACACAGGTTCCGGCCCCATAAACAACGTCGCAGACCCCTGCCGGGCAAGAGCGTCAGCTGCTTCATTACCTTCAATTCCCTTATGCCCTGGCACCCATTGAAGAGTTACCTTGTTGTGGTTAGCCAGGGTTAGCAGGCTTTGAAGGCAATCCCAGACCAATTTTGATCTGATTTTATTGCATGTTAGAGATTGAATGGCCGCCTGACTATCTGAGCATATGAGGATTTGTTTACCTCTGTATCCTCTTACTATATTCTCTCTCAGGCATGCCTCAATAGCATGCACCTCTGCCTGGAATACTGAAGCATACCTCCCCAAGGAAGCACACATCCTGGTTCTGGGTCTATCTCTATATATTCCGGCTCCCGTGCCCTCATCAGTCTTAGAACCGTCAGTGTACCATACTAACGTGCCTTCCTGACAGTTAGTCAAGACCCTTTCATCCCAGTAGAGCTGAGTGTTGAAGGGTCTGTAATAGTTATTTCTAGGCAGCATTTTGTCCCTTCCCATATCCATTAGTGGGCTTGAAACTTGGCTGATTATTTTTGTATGTCCCAGGGAGTCACCCCGAGCATACCAGTTGCCGGTACACTCCAGTCTGTATGCCCCTATCCTCGCTTCCGCCCTGATGAAGATTTCAAGAGGTGGAATATTGAGTATGGTTTCCATAGCAGCGGTAGGAGTGCTGCGCATAGCACCTGTGATGCAGAGACAAGCTAATCTCTGGAGTTTTGAAAGCTCCATTATAGCTGATCTCTGTTCAGTCTTAGGCCACCAGACAAGCGATCCATATACAATCATTGGTCTCACCACAGCAGTATACAGCCAATGTACCATGCGTGGTTTCAGTCCCCATGTGTTACCAATCGCTCTCCGAGAAGCCATTAGTGCCATTTTGCCTTTGCTGACAGTTTTTCGCAGTTGAGTATTCCAGGTTAGCCTAGCATCTAGGGTTACTCCCAGATACTTAACCTCCTGTGTCATACTTAGCTGTGTGTCAAAAAGTCTGGGAACTTTTAGTTTGTCCAGTTTCTTCTTTTTCGTGAAGGCCACAAGTGCAGTTTTACTAGGATTGACCCTGAGGTCTGCCTTTCTGTACCAGCCCTCTACTATCTTCAGGGCTCTCTGCATCAAGTCTGAAATAATTTCAGGATGCTGCCCCTCTACTAGAATGACAACATCATCTGCATACCCCTGTGAGTAAATTCCTACATTGTTTAGTTTTTTCAGGAGTTCGTCAATAACCAGATCCCACAGCAGGGGAGAAAGAACTCCTCCCTGTGGGCAACCCCTAGAAATCGTCACCTCTATGGTTTCACCAAGCAATGTGGATTCCGCTGTTCTGTTGTGTAGCGTGTTTTTTATCCACCGACATGTGGTGTCTTCCACGCCACGCTCAACAACCGCTGCTACCATGGATATGAAGGGTGTGTGGTCGAATGCCCCTTCAATATCCAGGAAAGCCGCAAGAGCTATGCTCTTGTTGCTTATTGCGGCCTCAAGTTTCCCCACCAGTTGATGAAGTGCCGTTTCACAGGATTTTCCCGATTGATATGCATGCTGGTTTTTATGTAGTGGCCTTTCAATGAGAAAGTTTTCCCTGATATGCATTTCAATTAACTTCTCCATCACCTTCAACATGAATGATGATAGTGTTATCGGCCTGAACGCCTTAGCCTGAGAGTAATCTCTTCCAGGCTTTGGGATGAAGACGATCCTCGCTCTCTTCCATGCAACCGGAATGTACCCCGTTGCCAGGCTTGCTCTCAATATCCCACAAATAAACGGAGCCAGCTGGTCCTTACCCTGCTGTAGCATTGCAGGGATAATTCCGTCCGGTCCCGGCGCCTTGTAGGATTCAAGAGTTTCTATGACCCACAGCAGTTTACTGTGGTCAACAATCTTCTTCGATACCCGCCAGTCCCCAACAGCAGCCCTCATGTGAGGGTTTAGTGGGTCTGGTAGATTATCGTTTTCAATTTCAACCGAATCTGGCAGATGAGCCCGAAGTAGAATCTCCAGAGTTTCCCTGCCAGTTTCAGTATATCTCCCGTCAGGTTTCATTATATTCCCCATAGGATTAACAGGTGCCTTGGCTAGGATTCGATGGAGGCGTGCTGCTTCAGAGGTTGTTTCCACCTCTCCACAGAAACGCCTCCACGACTCCCTTTTCGCCCTACGGATCTGTTTATTATAATTGGTCAGAGTGATGGAATACTGCCCCCACTCCCCAGTTTTCTTCGCCTTATTGAAAAGTTTGCGTGTTTCTTTTCTTAGCCTATTATCAATCTGAGCCGGACAAACTTCCGTCAAGTGATAACGATATAAAACAAACAGCAAAGGATAAGATATGATGTCCCCTTTGCGAATATCCGAACATGCCGCGATTCAAACTGATCTTAGTTAGTGGCAGAGCGTCAATATTTTTGAGAATATTTCGTCCCTGTCTGAAGTTAATATCCACAGGAATTTCAGACTTTTCTTCAATAATAACCACATCTCAAAACTTGCACAATATCGTTGTCGCCTAATGCGACTGCGTTACTCGACCTACAAAAATATTCAGTGAAGTGATAATTTTAGTGAATTATTATAAATGAAGCGACTTGTTCTTTGGTGTTAGAATAATTGGTCACCATCATATTACATAGCAAGGTGGAAAGTACGAAGGCGCTGAACGGACATAGCAAGAAAACATTTTTGTTTCGTCGTTTGATTATAATTGCAAGATTTTTCTGGCATTTCAGCTTATTGCAAGATTTATCTCGCAATTAAGGCATGATTGACAGATTCATCTGGCATTTATGATAATTGCAAGATTTATCTTGCAATTAAGGCTTAATTGACAGATTTATCTTGCATTTGAGCTAATTGCAAGATTTATCTTGTGATTATAACCTAAAAATCATTAATGTTCTAATGTGAGTAATATTATGGAATATTCAAGGTGATTCATTGGGTAAGGGTAGATGGAATACACCGAGATGCTTCTGAATAATCTATATTTCATGGGTCTATAATTCTTCGAAAACAATATACAGGGTGATTCATTAATTTCAATAATTTTTTCAATCAATCATAACTTATCAATCACTGTATATATTTTTGTGATATTTGGTTCGTAATTTCTATGTCAACGTTGGTGACGATTCACGTAATGAAAAAGTCTTATTCCAGGTCCGGCATTGGAAAAATCAATGAAAAAGGTTTCGGGTCGAAACAACACCCTGTATATCAATATTTCAAAATGTTATGTACAAATTTGTGAAGAGTAGGAACAAATGAGTGAGAATGAATGTAGTTCGTGATTTTTTTACCTATTAATTGAGTCATATCAATACAGGGTGTAATTTAATTGATGAATAAAAATATAGGATATAATTCCTTAGTTCATTTCGAGAATGATAATTGTCTTACACATACAGGGAGTTCGAAGTTATTCATTGATAATAATGAATACGAACATGATGTACTCTCGTTTTTCAATTAGGTTGGGATCCAAAAATTAAGGGAATGAGGAATTGTTGATTATTTAATGGAATAAAGATAGAAAAATACCATTTGCGGACGACAATTTTTTTTCAATTTTGTGCCACCTCATTATCAAAACATCAAGAATTGATTCGAGTTGATAGGTGAAGAAGTATGCGGAAACACGAAATTCATCAAGTCTTACTTATTTCTTTCTGCTCCTTCTGTCAATTAGCTCAAATGCAAGATTAATCTGTCAACTAAGCCTTGTTGCAAGATAAATCTTGCAATTAGCTAAAATGCCAGATTGATATATCAATCCGCTTAATTATTAGTTATTTACAATCAGTCAGAGTTACCGAAAATGTTGGATTGTTTGATCACTAGAAAATTATCATGGGATTTTAAAAATTAATATCTAACCAACAACATGGTTCCTGTCGGGGTCGATCATTATCAACAAACCTGTTGCTTTATCAAAACTATATCATCAATTCATTAGAGAATAAGCTGCAAGTAGACTCTATTTACACAGACTTTTCTAAAGCCTTTGATAGAGTTAACCACAGTCTGTTACTTGCAAAACTTGAAGCTTTGGGCATAGAGGCGAATATTTTAAGTTGGATCAGAAGCTATCTCACTAGTAGAGTCCAATATGTGAAATATGGGAGCTCAGTTTCACAACCAATCGAAGTACCATCAGGTGTACCACAGGGATATCACATGGGACCTCTGTTATTTAATCTTTTTGCTAATGACCTCTTTGATGTCATCATCAAAAGTTCCTTTTTGATGTTTGCCATTGACCTGAAGATGTTTAGAACGGTTCAATGCATTTCTGATGCTGAGAGTTCGCAGCTCGATCTGAATAAATTTTCCAGATGGTGCCATATTAATTTATTAGAACTGAATTTGAATAAATGCCAAAAGATAACATTTTCACGAAGCCATGATGCTATTGATATGACCTTCAAACATCACATAATAGAACCATCATCTCGTGCTCCCAAATGCTAGGCTTCTTCCTTCGTTCTGCTAAAGAACTATCTGTTTATGCTGTTAAAATTATTTATTGTGCACAGGTGAGGTCTATTCTTGGATATAATTCTTTGATCTGGTCACCATTTTACAAAGTTGATTCTGATCTTTTAGAGGATTGTCAAAATAAATTTTAAGAAGAATGAAAATTTATTCATTATTCCTCCATAAAATTATCAATGGTTACATTGATTCTCTTGAAATTGTTGCTCTGAATACGCTTTCCGCAAATACTAGAAGAAACAGAAATGGTGACATTTTCAAGATACCATTCTGTAGGAGGAATTATGGCCAAAATGAATCCAAGAATAAAATTATGAGAACAGCAAATACACACAATTACCAAATTGAGCTATTTAATTCATCTTTATTGTCTCTCAGGAAAGCGATGAAAAACTGTTAATCACTTTTTTCATAATCCTCATCTTTCTATTCGTTTTAGCCTTCTTCGTTTTTTTGTGTTAGTCTTCTTCATAGATATAATAATATGTACGTGCTCTGTATTTTTATACTTCCTTTTTGTAAATTGTATAATTGGCTTATCCGTTAATAAATAAATACATAAATGCAAGATTGATATGTCAGTTAAGCTCGAATTGCAAGATTTATCCTTGCAATTACCTTAAATGCAAGCAAAATCTGCCAATCAAGCCTTAATTGCAAGATACTGTAATGCCCCCAACTTTCTTCGTTCGTTGGCCTACTACAGGGGGTCGTTACAAAGTAATTTTTCCTCGATCAATGGGTTCGTTGATTATTGAGGCAGGAGGCAGACTGAGATTGAAGACATTAAGACAACATATAGATAGTTACTGAGACATATATTCAGGCAGTATGGTCAGGCAGAGGTTACAGGCAACAAAATCAAAGTTTGCTTACATTTCAGATTGCACATTTTTGTTACACTGTTCACTTGTTTTTTAATTGGCGAGAGATTCACTTCACTTTTACGTCTTAGTCACAAAAGTTGCAGTTTACAATAAATCTACCTGAGTGTTTACTTACACAGGTATTATTAACGAAGTTCACTGGTACTGTTCGAACGCAGCATGTTTGATAGACAGATACAAAGTCGGCTGGATACGTTTTGTATTGAGTCACGTTTAAGACTTGACATTTTACATTCTGGTCAACAGATTCAATGAATGTACTTCAATAATAATTATTCCCGAGGCTCACTAATGAAACTTTCAACTAACACAACGGAGATCGAGACATCGTATTGGAGAGACTGATCAAGACTGCTTCAAGAATAACTTCAGACTGTCTTTTTTCATTCGGATTGTTTCTGCTTTTATACAGAACATAGCAATAAATTTTGGGAGAATATTAAATTAAATTAAATATAAGACATGCTCCATGTTGTGTTTATATTAGGCAAGATTTTTCGTAGATTTTTGGGCGATAAATTACAGATGTTAGGATTGATTTGCGAAACTAAAAAGATTTCGTTGTAGTTCTGAATTGTTATGACGATAAATAATTTAAAGCTTCAACTCATACTATTGATGTTAATAAAACTGTCACTTACTATAGTTTTCCATCAACCCTTTTTCAAGCAATAATTCAATGTGGTTTATGATTCTCATTAATTTTTCTTGACTTCAATTTGCACAAGTGAGATGATTTCGATGTAACTCTCTAATGTTATGATAATAATTCACTTTATGATTATTAACAAAATTGACAATTACTGCTCTTTCCTTTACGTATTTGGGATAAATAATAATTTATTGATCTTTCGAGCCAATCAGATCAAAGTCACTCCCTCTTCACTGAACTTATAAATTCTCTGCAAATTCTCATCAACGTCATTTTTGTCTCCCAATTCGGTCCTGTGATATCAACCTGCTTCGTTCTTAAGTGACCAGTGAATTCGCTTTACAAAGGTAACGTACCTATTTATTCTATACATTTGTTTATGCTAATGATACTGCACTCAATTCAAAATAAACATTCGTCCGTTCACGTAATAATATTGCCTAGTATAGACGCATGATAAAAGTTATTCTTGTTCAAGACAATTATTTTTCACTGTACTTAGTTCAAGAGAATTTAGTGCTCCATACCATTTTCTCTAAGATACCCGTTCATTACAATACATCTTGCATAAATCTTGCAATATTCAAACGACGAAAATAAATATTTTTTGCTATGTCCGTTCAACGTCTTCGTAATACGGTGTTACATTAGTGTCAAGGGATTAGTTATCGAAAGTCGAGGCAAAGTGAATTATCGTCTGCCAGACGGCAGACATTAATTGGAGTCGAGAGAACTCACCTGAGAACCCTGTCGCTGTTATCGAACTTGCTGGCGTGCTCTTTGTAGTGGAAGTTCGCCTGCCTGACGGCGATGAGCGCGTGCTTCCCCTGCGGCACGCTGCGCTCCCTCACCCTGTAGTGGCAACTGACGTTGCGCGGGTAGATCCCCGGGTAGTTGGGCGACTGGATGCGGCATGCCCTGCGAGAGCAACCCTCCAACAGCCGGTCGCACTGGGAGCCGCTCGCCAACTTGCCTCTGGAGAGAACAGAACTCTTCGAACAATCAGGTATATTCCAGGGAAAATTTTTTGCTCAAGTAGAAATCCAATAAAATCAGTTAATTTGTGAACATCTGATTGAACACAACCAATCAAATCAACATTGAACTGAAAACAGATCCCATGGTCTGTTTTCACTATATTATGTTGCTATGGATACATTATGTTTCATTTCGATTTTGACATATCAAATAATTAATATTTCAAAATGTCACGATTTGGCTGTAATACTGATGAGAATATCGATGAAATTATCAAATCAAATATCCCAAAGAATACTGTTTACAGTAAAAAATTTGTATGGAAAGCCTTTATGGACTTCTGCAATGTTAGAAAATATGAATTAGATGGACATCGGACAGTGGAAGAATTGGCATCGATTTTAAAGGATTGGGCTGTGAACATGAGAAAAAAAGATGGTACAGAGTTCAAAGGAGCTACTGTTAAAACCATGTGGAACCTAACAAGTAAGCTACTACAAGAAGAATATTATAAAGAAATGCATGTTATTATAGACCCATTCAAAAGTGTTGTATTTCAACAAGCGCGAGATGCCCGCGATACTATACGAAGAAAACTACAATCGGATCCCTGTAAAAGGAAACAAAGTTCAGCGGCGTTAAGTGCAGAAGAAATAACAAAAATGATAAATTTGTGGGATGAGAATACCCCTGAAGGGCTGCAACGGAAATTTTATCACATAGTCGCCGTTGAATTAGCTTGGAGAGGTGGAGAAGCTGCTGTTTGTTTGACTGACTTCTTTCGTATCGAATCAAATAACGATGGTTCTGTATCAAATCGAGTTGAATATAACCCTGTATTCAGCAAGACTTGCCAAGATGGTTCGAAAATGTGTGCTGACAGCAAATTTTTAGTCGAAAACAACGACAGCAACGTATGTCCCGTCAGGTTATTTAAAAAATTGTTATCAAAAAGGGGCCCAAATATCAAAACGAATAGATTATTTCTAAGAACAAATCGGTACTGGAAAGCCGAAAGTGATCATTGGTATGATAATATGCCCATTGGAAAAAATATGATTCAGAATTGGACAAGAATGTCTGCAGAAGCGATTGGCTTGAAAACCAAGGAGAAAAAAATCACAAATCACTCCAATAGATCAACCGCGGTCAGTCGATTGGCCAAAAGTGGTGTACAAGAGCAAGAGCTTATAAAAATTACTGGGCATAACAATCCCAACTCAATAAAACCCTACTTGAATATTGACGAAGAACATCACAATAAAATTATTAACAGAATGCGTAGTGGAAATGCATCTTCATCAATTATAGAAACTAACACGGCTGGATCTTCATTACATTTTTCTAATTGTTCTTTTGTTAATTGCACATTCAAATAAATTGTTTTTGTTTCTGTTCCTATTTTTTTCCGCATTGTCAGCAAAAAATTTTCTATCCGAATAACCCTCGAACATTGATAAATGCTCAAAAAATTTTTAACAACTTTCTCAAGCTTGTTGCTTATAGGCAATAGACCTCCGCCTACGGCGTCGGTCTGTTTCCAAGCAACAAGCTTTCGAAATCTGTTATAAAATTTTTTCGAACAATTATCAATGTCCTTGGGTTATTACTACTGAAAACAGCATTCGACCTCGAAATTTGGTAAAGAAGGTTCGAATTGATGGAGCAAAGTGCGTTCTCTTCGTATTAGTGCTAGTGCAACTGCATCCCTCCCAAATGAACGATTTTAACCAGCACCCAATTTTTTGAGCGTGTGGGATCGATTTCCAGTTTCCTTAACAGTTAATTCCACGAGATAATAATAATAATAATATAATAATATATTTATTCATTCCAGAACAAAACAGTGTACAGAGAAACGAATTAAAAATTGAAATGAATAAATGAAAGATACTCGATAAGTAAATAAATACTTGTTTCGAGATACTTAATCTAATATTACATGGAAATAAGATGATGCATCTCAACAGTTGAACAAAACAGAGTCAAGAACAACTTTAACAAAAACAGAATGCAGAATAAAATGAAATTGAGATGAATAATTATGAAATATCAAATATTTAGAAATAAAATCGATAATAAAATCAATGTATAAGTATTTATGAACACATGTTATTAACAACAAATTATGTAGGTACTCTAGAATTGAGGGTATGTAAAGAAGCATTATTCAGGATCTCAGTTCTATGATGTCGTTGCACCACGCTCTTGAATTTTCTTGTATACATTTTTTTAATCTGTATCTGAAAGTTTTGAAGCAAGCTGTTAATTTCAGTTCTTCAGGAAGTGAATTATACGCCCTTGGTGCAATGTAGATGAAGGTTCGCTGACAAGTAGACTTGGTCATTCGTGGAAACGTATGATGATGTCTCTGCCGTGTGATGTAGTTATGAGTAGGTAATCGAGCATGATGTTCATTTTTTTTGTACTTGAGAATTATACTGAAATAATACAATTGCCTTATATCCATAACTTTGCTATCTTCATACAATTGATCTGAGGGATATCTTAGAGTTCTTGATTGGATCAATTTCAAAAATCGCCTTTGGGTGACCTCTAGAGGGTTGATATGCGTTCTCAGAGCCCCACCCCATCCCACGATACCATAACGTAGATGACTTTCAACCAGTGCATGATACAATATTGATACATGATACTCAAGATATCAGTTTTTTCATATGAAATTGCCCTGATAAATCTGATGGTGCCATCTTTTCAGCTCTCAGATTACCGGAAGAGTCTCAAAAACCCGCCATTTTGGAAATTAGCGGCTGATATTCATTTATTCATTCATTTCTTACACTGTTCAACAAGTTGCCCCATTTACAGAACATGAAAAAAGAACAGAACAAAAACATATGCATAGCATATTACATAAGCATAATGGATAGACGATATGACAAAATACAAATATCCTGACTATCTATCTAGTTATTCACTGATGAAGGAGAAAAAAGATAAAAAGTTTTGACATGAGTTATTCCACAGCTGAACACCAAGTTATATGTATTACACATCTTATACAAAGGTGAATTTTTATATATGTTGGTTCGAGGAAACTCTAAGTAGAATGTATCACAATTTGTGGAAGATGATCTCGGGATAATAAAATTCAGTTTTTCCAACAGATCTGCACAGTCAATTAGATTGTTAACAACCTTATAAAGGAACAGGATAGAGAAGTATTGTCTTCTTACGTGTAGGGTGACAAATTAAAAAGTTTCAAGAAGCTTTCCATGAGGTGTACCAATTGGAAGGTATGTAGAGTCCGACCACGATAACTTTGGGACAGCACGTGGTCGCGTATGCATTGAATATGCATTACCGCATGACCTGTATCTCAACAGTTTCAAAAACCGTCGTTGCAGACTTTCAAGATGATCAGTATTGTTCCGATAGTATGGGCTTCAAACAACCGATGCATATTCAATCTTCGAGCGTATTAAACAGTAGTACAATTTCTCAAGAGAATCTATCTCTTTGAAATCACGACTGTTGCGAACTATGAACCCGTATGCTCGAAATGCAGATTTCAGGATTGAGTCAATATGATCAATAAACGATATAGATTGATCAAATATAACGCCAAGATCTTTGAATGTTATAGGTCTCAGAAGTGTCACCAATTGAGTAATTGAATACGATTGGGTCCGACTTCAATGTGAAGGACATGACATTAGATTTGACAGGATTCAGTTATAATTTGTTATTTTGACACCATTCTTCCACTCGACCCAGGCAAGCTGTCGACAATCATCTATGTGATTCACGCACCTATATAATTTCAGGTCGTCCGCATATAGCGGAAAGTTCACGTCGATAACATTATCAATGTCGTTAATGAAAATGTTCAAAAGTAGTGGCCCCAGCCTTGTGGTACCCCAGATGTTGCAAGATATTCGACAGACTTGTAGCCGTTCAACTGGACATATTGTTTACGATTAGTGAGGTATGATTTGAATAGGTTAACTCGAGAGAGAGAGATAAGTCGAATGCTTTCAGTTTGTTTATCGAAATTCCATGGTCAAGTCTATCGAAGGCTTTGGAGAAGTCGGTGTAGATGACGCCTGATTGCGCACGATTATCAATATTCTCAGAAATGCATTGAGTAACTTTTATCAGATCTGTAACCGTTGACCGACCTCTCATGAAGCCATGTTGATGGGGAGAAATGATTTTAATGATGCTATAGGACAGATTTCGTTCCAGAAGAATTTCGAAAACTTTGCAAAAGTTGCGGGCGTGGATATGGCATGCTTGCATTATTTGAGCCGTGTGATGTATGAATTAACATGTTCTAGGGGTGTCTGAATATGATTTCACCAATCTCACATAACTTTCCAACTGAAACCTAATTCCTTTAGTTTTTTGCAGTATCGTTTGACCTCCTTCAAACCCTACTATAGAGCATTTTGAAATTGTTCAAGGATATTTTTCAAACAATGAATTTGTTTTCATTGTTACTCACGTAACAAGAGCAAAATCCGATGAAATTCAACTAATTACGTGTTTTTTTTCTCTCTGCCTGCCTGCCATTGTATCATCCAAGTAGTGCATATGTACTTCATAGCCCAGGAAAGTTGATATTCCACTTCGAAATTCGGTGAAGAAACAGGGGTGTCATTCCAGTGAATATCAGGGGGGGTCTAACCCATCAGAAGAAATATTCGTATGCGGTGAAAATACGCTGCTGGCTGAATATTTTGTATTCTAGGTCAAAGACCTTTTCTGGAAAATGGTACATTCAGGCCGAGTTAGGTTAGATTGCTTAGAAAAAGTAGTCTAATTTTTTTTTTATCCAGAAACGACATTTTTCATCCTCAAGAATGATCATTTAGACCGAGTTAGATTGTTCAAAAATAGTATACTGATTTTTATGCATAATGGATATTTTACGTCCTTATATCAGACTCGACACAATTTCACTGAGCGGATTTAAGTATTTGGGCTATCCTATTTACCAACCAATAATTATTATTGTTTTGCTGTAACGTTTC